ATATCGAGTGCCATACATACATCATTCACACTTAATTTAATTTGCTACTTTTTCGGTTATTCTCCTTGCCGATCGTTTTGCGTTTCGACCAATAAAAATCTCGGAATTCTTTTCAATGACATTTCAGCATTGTTGTCAATAATGTAAAATTTTTTTTTGTTGAAACTCGATACTTGGTGCAGAGAACAATGTATCTTGTCTTGCAGATTTACAGAATTCACTCATTTTCGAAGAAGAACAAAAAAAAACAAGTCTGGAGAGTGAATCGGTAATTGAATTGTATTATGGTCGATGCTTATCTACGGTGATCTATGAAAGAGCCAGAAAGTATTCTTCTTCGTTGTCGTCCAAATAATCGAATCATTCCGGTGCTGGTAATAACAACTAAACAAAACTAAAAACAAAACAAAACAAAAAACGTTATTCGACAAGTTTTTCAAAACAAGATGGAAAAAGTTGTGCATTTACCTTGAAATCTAATATATTACAAGCACGATGCTGGAGATTCTATCTATTCATTGATGTTGTGTATATTCAGGGTCGTTTGGTTCATATGGCATGCCACGAACCGTAACGATACGGTTCAAAGATTCGTCCATCGCTCCCCCGAATGAATGTATGTGGCATAATAATATTACATCGTATTTTGGGTACTCAACATTTATTCATCACTCTCTCTCTCTCTCTCTAGAGCTCTACGATGATTGAATCATTTTTCTTCTGTTTTACTTTATGCCTAATAGTTTTTCCAACCATGATGATGAGGAAAACCGACCGTATTTTCCTCCAGTCAGTCAGTCAGTCAGTGAGCCCGATACAGATAGAGAGAGAGAGAGAGAGAGAGAGAGAGAGAGAGAGATTTGGTCGTTAATGCGAAAATCATGTATCTTGTCAGTCAGCATTATTGTCAACAAAGAGAACGGACTATGATGACGATAAAAGACAATGGCTGGGGAAAGAAAATACTTGTCAAGTATCTGGTTGCTGGTTACGTTACGGTTTTGGTTAGTTGGTCGTTAGTTGTTCCCTATCGATCGTATCGTTGTTTGGAATGCTCCATATTATCTCTCTGGATCTTGGGTGAACAGACAACAAACAAAACGAAAACGACATTTTCCTATCAGCCGCCGAAGGGGGTTCGTGTTGAGAAAATTCTGTGCAAAGAATCACAACCAGACAGAATCGGATAATCAAACAAAAAACAAAACAGAAACTTTATAACGGTCTGATACGATTTTTCTTTTTCGTTTCTTGGTCAGGTTTTTTTCGCGTTGGATGTATTATTATACCGAATACCCGGAATAAATAAACACGGTGTGATTTGTTTTCACGAAAACGGGATGGTGGACTTGGCTATAATTTTCCAATGCTAAAATGGTGTCAACCATAACGTGTCCACTACATTATCACAGATTATTATTATGGGCAACAATGGCAATAAACATTTTATGATACGTTGGGGACATTGGCAAAATGATGATGATGATGATGATGATGCTTCAACTGATTTGGATTCCATTTGGCGGTTTTTTTCGCATTCACTGATTGCATTTAATGAGTGTGTATTCTCTTCAATTAGCATAAATTCTCTTTCTCATCGAATGATAATCACTGTCTATAAATCAGCCCGAATTCTAATCAACATCAAATGACAATCAAATTCTTTATCCGTTCGATTCAATCGATACAATCGATATTTGATCGATTCTTTTGTTCAATTCAAAATTGACCATAAATATTACCATGGCCATCTGGTAAATCACACACACACACACACAACCCGACTTACTCCCGTTACTCCGAAATTCAAGACCGGAATTTGTTGCCGTTACCAAAGATGAAATGAAAACAATTGCTTTCGTCGGCTATTTTCAGATCGGTTGGTCGATTGAGTGTTTGTGTTCGGGATTGTTTTGAATGTTTGTTATGTCGAATGAATGTGTTTTAATCAAACTAAAAGCATTCGACGAGATTTGGTTACATGGCCAAACACAACAGACAAAACTCGTTGTGTGTGTGTGTGTGTGCATTTGATTCTGGTAAGTATAAGTTCACTTTACTTTCTTGTTATTGTTATTGTTATTGTACTCTCTTTCTTTCAGTTGTTCGTTCCAGGAGATTGAGATTCAAACGATCTGGAATTGTTCTTTCTTCCTAGATTTGTTTATATCATCATCATGTGAGTTGTTTTCTTTGTTATTCATTCCAAGGTGACATTATTCCCGAATCAAGTTTTATTCAGATGAAAAAAAAAATCTTTTCAACTTCATCATCATCATCATCATCGAAGAGAAAAAAAAGACGAAAAATGGATCACTGAATGATTAACGGTTATAATCCTATTATGTGTTGAGGGTTCTGGGTGCCAAAACTCACCACCGCCACCGCAACGGCTATGAAGAAAGACAAGTCGAGTCAAGATTTACTTGCATCATTCGATCCCTGTGAACGGAAGAAACGAAAGGAAAAATTTATTACTTGGTCTCGGCTGCAAAATATTCGTATTCACAATGTATGAATCATAATCATAATCACAAATGGCTTCCCATTCCTATTTCCATTCAATTCAAATATGAAGCAGAAAAATTTGTCATTTCATAAATTATTCGCAAAACGACAACCAAAATGATAATGACAACTTGCCATCATCATCATAATAATGATGATGTTGATGTTGATGTTGATGATGATGATGATGATGATGGCCGTTCTATTTTCTTGCCTTTGTATCAAAATCGGGTATTTGTTTATTTTGGGTCACATTTTCTCTCTTTTTTCATGTTTACGTCATCATCATCTTTTCCATGACGAAAATCGGCTTATTTCTTTCAGAGTAGTCAAATTCTTTAGGATGTTATTGTTGATGAAACAAACAAAAAATTGGCCTTTTCATTTCTGTTTCTCTCTCTCTCTCATCCATCAACATCATCATTGAGATTAAATCCGATTCCGATTCATTACCTTGGCTAATTGAGAGTCGAAAAAACAACAAATCATAATGAAAAGTCCAAATCATCATCATCATCATCATAATAATTATGTTTATAATTTTTTAGCCGATTACTGTTGGCCTTGTCATCATCATGGAATTCATTCAGAAAAACGAATCAGTATGGAATCCTATTGATGGTGATGATGATCCAATGAGTAAACATTGACATTATATCATGGTAATCCTCTCTCTCTCTATCTCTCTATGCCTGCTCATTAAAAGCTTATTTGCAAAGAATCGATAATGGACGACTACATGTCTGCGCGGGTAATCGGTTATTTATTTGAAAACCTCAAACATTTCGAAATGATGATGATCATCATCATCATTAAAATGAGATCCAAATACCAACTACTCTACATGCACAAACATACACCCCATGACTGTCCATGTCCATGTTTATGTTTATGTTTATGTTTTTCCAATCCAATCCATCAGTTCATATTTAGAAATTGGATCGGATTTCAAAGAGAAAAGTTTTTTCCATGTCTCATTGGCTCACTGTGGACAAACGAAATTCAATCAAACATTTGTGCGGTTTTTATTTGTTTGGTTTGCTTACATGTCATATACAATGACACCAATGAATCGATCATCAACATCAACATCGTCATATTCAACATCCATTGGCCATCTGTCTTGTTGTTTTTGTTGTCTGGTTCGGTTGTTTCAAATCATTCAAATGGTTAGTCGCAAATCGACCTTCAGCAAAAGCAGCGAATTACAGAAGAAATCCGTGGGCGTTGTCTCTCACACTCATGGTTGATTAATTATTTAATGCTAACACCATTCATCATTGCCTAAAGGGGAGTGATGATAAGATCTAATAATAGATGTGAAAAGAAGAAATTCATGTTGATGATGATCTTATCAGGATGCTAGATTCATTTCCAATTCATTCATTCTTCCATGCATGTGTTACAGTTTGATTCAGTTTTTTTTTCGTTTTTTTTTATATTTAACAAAATCCAGACTTACATTTGTGTGTGTTGTGTCATGTATATGTCGTGTGGATTGGATGCAAAACATCCGTTTCTTTTTTGTTTGTCGGCTTTCTTTCAATGTGATTGTCATTCATTGGATGCTTGTCTCTCAAAGGAATTATAGCCGAATCGCTTTTTTCATGCTACCGGACATGATCCTAGTGATGATTATATGCTGACTGATGACTGTATCCGGTATAATTCCTTGCACAACATCATTGATTGACCGAGAATAAAGAGAAAAATATTTTTCTTGAAACTTTGCGAACGGGTACAGTAGATGGTTGGCAAATTCACAATATCGAATTACAGTGCCAATGAAAAATGAATGACTGGCATAACCGGAGCAACCAAAATATATGAATGAATGTCAGTCCGTTAAACTGACCATGTTATGATGAATGATGATCTAACGAAACTTTTTGCTCTTGTTTGTTTGTTGTCAGTTGGCTACATGAAAAACAAACGAATTACAATCATTATTTCATAAAGTGGACACAAAACAAATTATGAATGCTTACCCGTTATTTTCGTTCACCATAGTAGAATGGATACTTTGTCTTTATTTCATTTCATTCATAACGGATTTCTAATGGCCCCGGTGAGAATTACCGGTCATCATCATCATCGTCGCCGCCGTTTGCCCAATATAATTGCAGTTGCCGACAATGAGAAAATGAGAAAATGAGAAAACTTGAAAAAAATTTCTCCACTTGACAACAATTATTGAGACCAAAAACAAAATTTTTGTATCAGAAACCGCAAAAAAAGTTAAAAATAAAAATAAAAAAAAAAAAAATTCGAGTCCATTTTGCAGAATCTTCAAAATCAGTATTCGACACATAATCGCCATCTAGTGTTGGCGATAGAGGAAAATGTTGTGGTGTCAAAGTTTCGGTTGTCAAGTCGTCTGTTTTGTTTGGGTTTTGGTTTCATTTTTCTTTCGAACGGCAATGGTGTTATGAGGGGAGGGGATTTGTTTATTGTTTACATTTGACAAATATTAGGTATTGCACGAACCAGAAAATTGTCTCCATTTTGATGCAAACATCAAATTGAGCTTCGTGTACTTCTATCTATGTGTGTGTGAGTGTATTTATGATAATCAAAAAAATGGATAATGAAACCTTTGAACCTTGTCAATTAATCGAATGATTGGCCATCCACAAGCGATCAAAACATTTGATTATTCGAAACCTCTTTGCGAGATTGCAACAAAAACAAAACAGAAAAAAATACGTAGAAATTAACCACCAAAGACGACGACATTTTTTGCTTTATTACGACGTCTTAACTTTTTTTTTACTCTTTTTCCCTCTCTCTCGTCGAAGGTTGGCAAGTTTTTGTTTTTCTTGATTGAAATTGAATGACTCGTTTCTCTCTCTCTCTCTCTCTATCCTATCTAGTTATTATACACACACTGCACTACTTCTCGAATTCATCACCACCACGTTTGGTGTGATTATTGAAAACTGATGATTGATTTGTGCATTTAAAATTGTGTTTCGATTCTTTGATATGAAATGTGATTAAGGTTGTAAAGCAGACATTGTTTGTTTATATATGCGGTCTCCTGGTGGATATTTGAAAATCGCCTCCATTAGTGTGTAATAATTACCTATAGATAGATTTGAATGCAATGCATTTAAATGACTGAGGTCATCATCATGGTCCATACCAGGATCCTAATGTAAAACGCTGCTGCGTGATTTCATCCATTTCAAAGACGTTCTTTTATAACAATAAAAACAAATTGAGAACAAACAAACAATCGAGTTACATGTGTTTTTGTGATGATATTTCATCGGATTAGCAGTCATGACAATCCATCAGTGAGATAATCCGCATCTCTTTTATAAATGAAAAATTTTATTAATATTTCTGTCCAGTTCCCAAAACAAAACAAAAAACAACGTAGTTTTATCAAATTTCTTTATCTCTTTTTTGTAGAGAGTAATTCTACATATGTGATAATCAACAACTCAGTGTACAAAACAAAAAAAAAATTCAAGTGGCAATAATCATCAAATGTGAATGACAACAATGAATCAATCATCAAACCATACCGCCAATAATGGCCATCATGATAATTTCAATAAAAATCTCATTCTTTCCCGAAAGATTCATGGTTGGCAACCATTGGTATGTGCATAGTTTTCATAGTTTTTTTTTGGTTCAATAACAATTCCATTTGAATTGCAGCAATTCAATGATCCAGATACCGGTGCAAACAGCTGTAAATTATTACGACTGAAAATTCATTGTGGCCACAATCTGGCTAAAAAGGATATATTCGGTGCATCCGATCCATATGTTCGTATTGATCTATTGAGCAAATCGGATCGTTCAGTCATCGATTCATTGTATACGAAAACGAAAAAGAAAACACTGAATCCATGCTGGAACGAAGAATTCATTATTCGTGTACTGCCAGCCAGTCACCAGATATTGATGGAAGTTTTTGATGAAAATCGCCTTACACGTGATGATTTCCTTGGCAAAGTGGATCTAGCATTGAATAATATTCCAACAGAAACAACCGATATGGTTATCGAACCACAACGATATACACTGCAACAGCGAAGTCAAAAATCCAAAGTTCGAGGCCATCTTGAGATATATCATGCCTATATTGATGCACCGGCAACATCGACAACACATTCCACTTCTACATTGGATGCTGGTGAAGAATCGATCGATGATAATGACGATGTATGTATTCAATGATTGTTCAAATGTATCTCCAATTTGATTTCATTCATTCATTCATTCATTCATTCATTCATTCATTAATCCATTCATCCAATAGCAAAACGAGTGGGAAATTGTCAACGAACCAAGGACCAACAATATCAATCATGACCGGTCAGGAAGCCAAGAAGATCTACCGAATGGATGGGAAGAACGACAAGATTCAAATGGACGTACTTATTATGTCAATCATAATACTCGCACTACACAATGGACACGACCATCCACCAAGTACGATTAATGGGTTGTTGGTTTCAATTTATCTTTATTTTCCTCTTTTCAGCAACACTAGGCCCTTATCAGCAACATCCTCAACATCTGATGCACAGACATCATCATCAAACATTGGTGGTGATGCTATTGATCAACAAACAACATCGCCATCGACTGTCAACCAACAACAACAACAGGCATTTTATCGCCGTTTTCATGTTGGTAGTAGTATGGATCAATCATTACCGTCACAATCTCAATCCTCATCGATATCATCATTATCATCTGCAACATATGATAATAATCTAAACGAACAAAATTCTCAACATCATTCCATCAATCAGAATCAGGTATTTCGACTCACGTGTATTGTTTATTTGTTTATTTGTTCATTTCTCTATTTTTGCACGTGCCATACACACGCACAGAGTTCATTGAATTCCGGTAATGATCGGCCTAATTCTGCGCCAACATCAGATCACTCATCTGCCATAGATCATCAACATGTAAGTTTTGTTTTCATTTCTAAATTTAGAGCGCTATTTGCAGTCATAATCAATGTCATCGCCTTAGAAAATAGAAAATGAAATGACGTTGCTAAAATTGAAATAGATCCGAAACCGATCAATAATTGTCTTTTGCGAAACAACAATATAATCATCTTGCTTGAATGCTTGATTTCTTTCAAGGCATGATTCAACACTGGCAGCAGTTCATGGTTGTTTTGAAAGATTCAATTGTAAAACTAAATTTAACATAGGAGGCATATACTCATGATGTGTATGTGTGTTGATCATCAGTCATCAGACATAATAAACATAGTTATCATTATCATTATCATCATTATGATTATGATTACCATCATCAAAAAATGGCTTTTTATGATGATCATTTATATGTTGATTTTCATTTAATACATCTGAATCAACAGGTGTTTCCATTATCATTGATTAACACTTGCTTTAATCATGTTGTATTTGCATGAAATGGAATTAGAATATAAATATAAATATAAATATAAACTAGTAGATACCTACACGCCAAAATCTCGATGATGCCGGATTTTTTTCCATTTTTACGATTATGATGATGATGATGATGATGATGATGTTATTATCACCATTGTCATCATGATTGAAAATTTTTCTGGCTTACACGCACAACCATCAGCCTTTAAAATTTCCTCCTTTTTAATGATGATGATGATTATTATGCTATATCCTCGATCATTTTTTTCTCCTGATTGTAATAAAGCTTAGCTTAGCTAAAATCAATGTAGTGGTGGTGTTGTGTATCGGTGTGTGTGGTATATATTGGATAACCCAGTGTTCATGTTTCTGCATACGTACATGCTTGTAAACGGGAAAAAGAAAAAGGATGAATGAGTCAATGAATGAGTGTGATTAAGAAAGATGACAAACTTTTTTCCTCTGTCGTTATGTGACAAAATAAAATAACAGACAGACAATGACAAAGAGAAAAAAAAGAAAAAGAAAAGAGCAAGTTGTTGTTGACAAACACACACAAAAAAGAAATCAAGACTGATAACGAGACTGTATATACAGTAGTGTGTTGTTTGGAAAAATCAACTGATAACTTTGTTTAGACCAAATCGCAAACAATCCGAGTTTTATTCTGCCATCCTGGAACTTTGATCATTCCCTCACTCGAGCTTATCATTATTATCAGCAACACAGAGAGATTAGAACAAAAGAAAAAATTAAATTAAAATTTACACTTTTTTAAAAATCTTTATCTTTATTTGCCTGCCTTGGTGGTTATCATAATCATCATCTTCATCATTTTCAGAATCATTTCATCAAAAAAAAAAAAGTCAAAAGTTTTGTTTTTTTATTGTCTTGCTCACATTGATTGATTTGTATAACTTGTTGCTTTGCATTTCTCTTTTTGTGCGTTGCTGTTCTGTTTGTTGAGCTTTTGATGAATGTACCGTACAAAATGGAATCATCAACGACAACGACCACGACGACAACAATGGCCACCACTGCTAATGTGGCCAGAATTCGTTTAATTGACCCAATCATGAATCATGATATGAATGATATCGATTCTACACCTGGTTCTAGTCGACAATCATCGTTTGATTTAACTTCCAATGCGCTTACAACAACCAATACAAATAATAATAGAAAGAAACGACGATTTTCCTTTTTGAATATATTCCATAATAATAATCATAATCACAATCATTCCAAACAGCATCATCATACGGAGCAGACATTGAATCATGATCATGATCTATCAACCACAACACCCGAATCGAGTGATGTGACCACAAGACGTTCGAATTCTATATCGACAGCAACAGCAGCAAATAGTAACAACGATAATGATGATCTAGAGGAACAACAACAACAACAACAACAACAACAACAACTTGGACCATTACCAACTGGTTGGACGCAACAAATATCCGACACTGGCCGTATATTTTTCATTGATCATAATAATAAATCAACAACATGGATTGATCCACGAACCGGCAAACCAAGTTCGCCACCGCCACCATCATCATCTTCATCATTAATGTCCGCTCTTCATCACCACCATCATCATCATACTACTCATAACCATAATCAATCGAATAATAATTCAAAGCACCATCATCATCATCATCACCACCACCATCATGGCAAACATATGCCATTCGATTTGAAACACCGGATTATCGATGATTTAGGCCCATTACCACCAGGTTGGGAAGAACGTGTACATCGTGATGGACGAATCTTTTTCATCAATCACAGTAAGTGCACAGTAACTATGGATCGATTATGAATCGAAATTGTTTTCATCTTGGCTCATTTTGTTCGATTTATTAGATACGAAAACAACTCAATGGGAAGATCCACGTATCGACATGCCCAGTGTATCAGGGCCACCGATTGCTTATTCACGTGATTATAAGAAAAAATATGATCTTCTACAGAATTCGCTGCCCAAACCGAATGGCCCGAATAAATTTGAGATAAAAGTACGACGCAATTCCATATTGGAAGATTCATTTCGTGTCATCAGTAATGTATCAAGAGTGGACTATCTTAAGGCCAAATTATGGATCGAATTCGATAATGAAGATGTACTCGATTATGGTGGTCCTAGTCGAGAATGGTTCTACCTTTTGTCCAAAGAAATGTTCAATCCATACTATGGCCTTTTTGAATATAGCTCGACCGATAAATATACGTTGCAGATACGACCATTCTCCGGTCGATGTAATGAGCTACATTTGGCTTATTTCAAATTCATTGGTCGTGTTGCTGGTATGGCCATTTATCATGGCAAATTGTTGGACGCCTTTTTCATACGGCCATTCTATAAGATGATGTTGGAGAAAGAAATCACATTGAAAGATATGGAAAGTGTTGATACAGAATATTACAACTCACTGAAATATATTCTCGAAAATGACCCCAGTGAATTGTATCTCAATTTCTCGATTGATGAGAAATTCTTCGATGTTGTTGAAGAGAAAGAATTGAAACCGAACGGTGCACAAATACCGGTGACAAATGAGAATAAACAAGAATACATCAAGTAAGCCACTCTTTGGTTTTTTCAGTTTTCATTGTTTTTGCATTTTCTGCAAATAGTTTAGTGATTGATTGGCGTTTTGTTTCCCGTGTTAAACCACAAATGGATTCATTTCTCGAAGGTTTCAATGAATTGATACCCAAACATCTGATCAAAATGTTTGATGAAAATGAACTAGAACTATTAATGTGCGGCATTGGCAATGTTGACGTGAAAGATTGGAAACAGAATACCGTTTATAAAGGTGGTTATCATCTCAATCACATCGTTATACAATGGTTTTGGAGGGTGAGTTTTCTTCATCGTTTCAATGGTTGTTCATTCATTTATTGATTGTTCATCAAATAGCTCGTTTTATCATTCAACAATGAACAACGATCACGATTGTTACAATTCGTAACCGGTACATCACGTGTACCGATGAATGGTTTCAAAGAACTATACGGCAGTAATGGTCCACAACTATTCACGATTGAAAAATGGGGCAACCCACAAAATCTACCTCGGTCTCATACATGGTATGTGTGTGTTTGTGTGCAAAAATAATTGTCCATTTTCACACCATTTTTCATTTGTTTCATTAGTTTCAACAGACTGGACTTACCATGTTACGAATCATACATTGATCTGCGTGATAAACTAATCAAAGCTATTGAGGGTTCCGAAACGTATGGTGGTGTTGATTGAGTGAATTTCCCTCAATATTTCCTATCAATTTATATAATCGTATCTGTTTCTCTGTTTGTTTGTTTGTTTGTTTGTCTTTGGTTTCTTGATCAATTATTCTTGTGCAATTTTTTTCCGATGAATGCCTTTGTTTTTTCTCTTTATTGATTAACTTTTTTTTTAAATAAACTTTGAAAATGAAATTCATATGATGTATCGTTATGTTGAATCATAATCATTCATCTTCCATCTGGTCAGTGATATATGATTGCTTCCGGTATCCATTCCTTTCCTTTGTGTTTAACTGACTTGGTTACACAATCTGATGAGATGCAATCTCAATGCTAAAAGCCGGACATTCTGACCAATTGAAATACATCGGCACGCCTATAGGATGGGTGGACCATTGGTACGAATTATAAACACAGAAAATTAATCTATCAATCATCGAAGAAGGGTTGAATTTATGAATACATAAATGTAACACTTGTTTTCAAGTTAATGGTGTTGAAACTATGCAAATAAATCAAATCATTTAAACACATCACGAAGAAGAGGAGTTTTTATCTGCTACATAAATAGAGCACAGAAAATAAATCATGCAAATATATTTGAACGATTTTCAACCCTTTCATCGTCAATAAAGTAAATTTTAAAAAATTGAAAAATCAACAAAAGTGTTTGGTTGATGATATCCAACCAAAACAACAAAACAACAACAACATGGCCTTCATATTTGTCAGAAATGAATTTACAAAAGTAATCAATTGCCATCGATCAGCCAACTTGTTGTTGAATGGATAACACAAGAGAAAAACGTTAAAGGTTCATCAGAAATTTCAATCGAAAAATAAAATGTAATCAACAACATCGATCATGATGACCATGAATGATGTTGTTGTATTGCGTTACACTGGATATAAATTGAGGATTGTGATTTGTTCTATCCGTTCATTTCGCATCAACATGGACGACAACCACAACGTCAACATTCGTATACGATTCGATCAGAAATGTTGGGCGATATTCAAAAACAATGCTTACATTTTTGCCTATGTTTTGGCTATTGTCATAATCCCTGCTTGTTTCGTACCGTAAGTTTCTGTCTGCTTCAATTTATCCATCATTTTCATTGCTTCGTTCATTGCATATAGGTATGTTGTTTCAGTTTATTTCGGACAAGTTCCGCCGATTCTACCATACATTAGTGATGCTGCAGCATTCAAACCGGCTACTGGTTATTTTGCTCAATTACTCGACATAATTGTCATGTTGGGAGCCTTAGTTTGTATCGCAAGATTCAAACAAATCCATTATTACATATCGGTCGTTCTAGACGAACAAAAAAATTCAATCGATGAAAACAAATTATCGCGGTTACATTTGCAAAATTTCCTATCCTTAGCATCATTTGCCATTGCAGGTTTCGGTATGGTAATGATTGGCAATTTTCCCGGTGTTGATTATATGATTCTACACATGACCGGTGTCTATTTGTTCATAATATTCTCTCTGATTCAACATTTCATTATGGTATGTGTGCGTGCGTGTGTGTGTATGCAATAATCAATGTGAATAATCAATATATATAGATATCAATAATGAGAAAATTATATCGATATGGTCGATTGGAAAGCCATCCAACATCGGTCATCATAGTGGTCAGCACATTGTTTGTATCGATAACTGTATGTCATGTAGCCGTTTCAATATCGTATGTACATCACCCGGAAAGTATAATTTTCAATCACAATGCTCGTATTCAATGGCAAGCCAACCAGCCTGGCTATGTATGGCATGTTGTTAGCACTGCATCAGAATTTGTCTATTTCCTCATGTTTGTACCGTATTTCTGGTCAATTGGTCATCGCATGCAATCATTCAAACAATGGGATCGTATTCATTTCTAATTCAAATTCAAATTCAAATTTTATTACAAAAACACAAACATTATTAACATTAACATTTGGAAATGAACTCCATACAACAATTATCATACAATTCTAATTGTTCATTTGAATTATTATCTCTCAAATTGATTCGATTCTGGTGCTGTTGTTGACCAACTATGATCAGATCGTATCGTTGCCATAATCGTTTCCAATTGATTTTTAGAAAAAATTTTTTTACATAACGACGTTCTTGACGGGCCTGCATCTGACATTGAATCGACATATCACGTTCTATCGAAATGCGTAATAAATCTTTCGATACAGTGTTGTTGGTCATTGACTTTTTGTCAATGAAAACATTATAAATACGATTATCATATGATCGAATTGTAATCGGTATTGATCGACAGGAATTACGACAATCGATATGATCACGAATCATTTGATTATATTTTACATCTGGATTCGGACAAGCAGACAATAATGGCACTAAATGAGCTAATAAACAATCATTTTTACATGCATCAACAATGCTTTTATTAATTTGTTTCAATAATCGACAGTGTTCACCATAGGTTTGGTATTTAATTTGTAAATTTTATTATCAGCCATAGTTGATAGTTGTGGTTAATTTTGAGATTTATCATCATCAGTATTGAAGCCAAGATATTTCAAATCTTCTTTAACCATCAAATCTTTATCCATACGACATTCAAGATATTCACGGGCAATCGATTGACATTTGGTCGTCACTTTTGAGCCTGTTTCTCGTAGACATTCAGTATATTGTTTCATAAGATGTTTACATTCACCATAATGATCTAAAGGAAAACTCCCTTTGGCAGGAGGTTTTGGGATGAATAATTTCGAACCACCGATCGTATTGGCCATATTATTATTGTTGTTCGGTAAAAGGACAAAAATTCTAAATACACACTGATCATATGGTAGCCAGTCGGACAGCACTGATGTCGATATAGGCGATCGAATAAACACGTGATTCGATGTCAATCACCCAAATTGATTGTTGATCATTAAATCAAAAACATTCATTTCATTGCCGTTTCATTGCCGCAGCAATGAGTAATAACGATCCTATGAACGTTGATTATATTCCATTGTCATCCGCAAATAATCCATCATCATCGAATAAACGATCATCAAAAGAACGTCAAAAATCGATAAGAAATCAAAATGCATTTCATGATGAGAAATTGTATTCGCGAATCTATAAGGTATTTTTCAAATAAAATTGCCATTATTATTCATATAAATTAATCCTAGATATTGGAAACGGAAACAATCACCGACATTGAATCAATTATAGCCAATCTTCAACGTACATATCCGGAATATGGACGTAAAAAACGTCTAGTATTGAAACGTTCCGTACAGAAATGTATCGACACAATTGTTAATGATTTTGATCTCGAAGATGTGAGTGATAATGATGATTTTCTGGATGATGAACAGCCACAACCGATACAAAGTGATAACACAAATCATGTGAACAATACTCTGAATCAATTGTACAATAATGGTGGGGCTAAAAATTGCGATGAAAAGAAACGTACGAATGTCAATGTTCAACCTGCACTTGCACTAACACCAATTTCATCAACAAGTTTGTCTATCAAACGATCTCGAACGATGGAAGAAAGAATCGAACGTGACATAGAGGCAACATTAGTCAAACAGGCTGCTTTACGACACAAATATCTTGTTGAACCTAAAGTCCGTTTCGAAGATTTTGGCGGTCTCGATGATGTTGTCGATGACATTCGAAGACTAGTATTTCATATTCATAATCATGATTTGTATCTAAAATTAGGTGTGGATGCACCACGTGGATTTTTGCTGCATGGACCACCAGGTGTTGGTAAATCGTTGCTGGTCGAAGCATTGGCTAATGATCTACAGATTGCCTATCTCCGTTGTGGTGCTACAGAAATTGTTGCCGGCATTTCCGGCGAATCGGAAGAGAAAATCCGACAGCTGTTTGCGTTGGCCAAAGAAATGAAACCTTGTTTGTTGTTTATCGATGAAATCGATGCCATCACGCCAAAACGTGAGAACGCTGCACGTGAAATGGAACGTCGAATCGTTACACAAATGATCACCTGTATGGATGAATTATCGGCTAGTGATGGATCAGGTCATGGAGTTATGGTCATCGGTGCAACGAATCGTCCAGATTCATTGGATCCAGCACTTCGTCGTGCCGGACGATTTGATCGTGAAATCGCGCTAGGCATACCTGATGAAAAATCCAGGCTTGAAATCATACGTGTTTTATTCCGTAACATTAAAGTGGATTCGAATTTTGATTTCGAAAGCCTTGCCCATCGAACACCCGGATATGTTGGTGCCGACCTAAAAAGCTTGATACGTGAAGCTGCCATTTTGGCATTAGAACGATTCATGAACAATCCATCAACATCATCATCGGAGGTGAAGATCGAAGAAATTGATGAAACAAATTTCCACATTGAAATGTGTGATTTTGATGGTGCATTAAAACGTATACAGCCATCCTCGAAACGTGAAGGTTTTGCCACTGTTCCTGATGTTACCTGGGATGATGTCGGTGCATTATCCACCATTCGTCAAGAGCTACAATTGTCCATTCTGGCTCCTGTTCGTTTTGCACGTGATGTCGAAAAACTCGGCCTTTCATTATCGGTCGGCATTCTGTTATGTGGTCCACCAGGTTGTGGCAAAACATTGCTAGCCAAAGCTATTGCCAATGAATCGGGCATCAATTTCATCTCTGTAAAAGGTCCCGAATTGTTGAATATGTACGTAGGTGAATCGGAACGTGCCGTGCGTGCTGTTTTTAATCGTGCTCGCAGTTCAAAACCATGTGTCATTTTTTTCGATGAAATCGATGCTCTATGCCCACGAAGAACGGATTCATCTGATGTAAGTCTGCTTGTGTGATCATTTCAATCGATACAATTTTAACCAATTAAATTTCAGTCATCGAACGTGACATCACGTGTTGTCAATCAATTGTTGACCGAAATGGATGGCCTAGAATCTCGTGACTGTTTTCTATTGGCCGCTACTAATCGTCCGGATATTCTTGATCCAGCCATTCTACGTCCAGGCCGGTTTGATAAAATTCTTCATGTTGGATTTCCAATGGCTAAAGATCGATATGAAATTTTATTGACATTAACAAAGGTAATAACTAGCACTATATTCATCCGATCACATTCAAACTATGATGCTATATTTCACTCACAGAAAGGAACAAAGCCCCCAATTTCATCAGACGTTAATCTGCAACAATTGGCCACTGATCCAAGATTGGATGGCTTTACCGGTGCTGATCTATCGTCGTTGGTTCGTGAAGCTAGCCTTAATGCATTACGACAGAAAATTGATGGAATTTTACCACCAGATAAAGATGTCATATTGAATTTCAAACATTTCGATGCAGCATTGAACAAGGTTCGCCCATCAGTATCGATTGTTGATCGACAACGTTATAATCAAATGCAATCATTATTTTCAACAACAATAACACCATTGAATGCATAAATTTCACTTTTTAATCAATCAATTAAAACATTCTATTTAATTATTATCATTACAAAATTTATAATTTCGGTCGTGTTTGTACCACTCGAAGATTTTTCGGATCGGTTCGACAATCCAAGTAATCACTACCAAAGTGGAAACATTCTTTTTTCGTTTCGTCGTCTTTACCTTTGATACATCGAAAATAATCGATGAGCATATGTTTGCATGGATCTTTTGAATTTTCCGATATATCAATGTTGATGAAACCGGACATGATCGTTTGAATTTGATTACAATTCCAAAAAATAAAACAGGTGACCTATGGCAAAATCAACTCGATTGACTTGATGAATGTCAAAATAGCCGAATAATATATCTCCAATTCTCAAAGCCAATTTATTCGTCATGACCGGTAATTTTTTTCATCTCCCTCATTATTCACAATATTCTTTTGTCCAAATGATCCAGGATCCTTTCACCAACCACAGAGTAATTCTGGTTCTTCTTTTTTTTGGTTTATATAGCACTAATAACTACAGCAGTTGAATTCTAACGGTTGACGGGTTTACTATTCCTGCATATTATATGTGATTTGTGAGCATTAGCTGTGGCTGCTGCCTCTGTATCTGTATGTCTCGAATGAATCACTGTGTGTGTGTGTGTGTCTGTTTTCATGACGAGCCAACCCAAAGAAAAGAAATCGGTTCTACCAGTCATTGAGCAAAAAAAGATAGAAATTGAGACTTTCTCACACACACAAACCAACCAAATAAGTGAGAGAGTCAGATAAAACAGTGAATTGTTCATTTTTAAAAGTTGCATCATAATCATCTATTTCTGGTCCATTCATCTGATGCTCAAAATCATCACTCATTTTTTCCTATTGGATTGCAATACCTTTTTACAATCCACATTTGACGAAACAATAAACAACGACCTGCCACGTAGACGACGAGTAACCAACAGATTTGTGTGTGGGCGTATGTGATTTATTGAATTTGTCGTCCCTTTTTGGATCATCATCATATAGAGACGAGTAATAATGGCATCGAATAGTGCAAACAATCCGGCTAATAATCAATCACGTCGATTATCGTATGATTTATAAAAATTAGTTTGATGACTTGGATTGATTGATTCTGTAATTCTGTAAATAATTTAATTATTTTCGTTAATTATAGCGCAACCGGTGATTCTTTGTACATAATATTGGGCATTGAAAAGACATCTACACCCGAAGAGATTAAACGTACTTATCGTAAAGTAAGTGATAATGTACTGAATCTGCCATTTCTTAATAAACTAATTTCAAATTTTACAACGACGTAGTTGGCATTGAAATATCATCCGGATAAAAATCCCAACAATCCGGAAGCTGTGGAAAAATTCAAAGATATAAATCGTGCCCATTCAATCCTGTCGGATGAAAATAAACGTAAATTGTATGACAATTATGGTTCAATGGGTCTATATTTGGCCGAACAATTGGGTGAAGAAAATTTGGGAGCCTATTATCTACTAACATCTGGATGGTGTAAAGCATTGATACTTGGTTGTGGTATCTTGACCGGCTGTTATTTTTGTTGCTGTTGTTGTTGTTGTTGTTTCAATTTCTGTTGTGGACGTTTCAAACCAAAACATTCACCAGATGATTTCAATTTTAATCCGGTAATGATAATGATCTATCTATATCTATAATCTATAATATAACTTTTTTATTTCGCTAATCGATTTGATTTTGATTTTATAGGATGATCTTAAAGAAGAAACAAATGATAATAATCAAGTAACTAATGAACAATCACCCTGGGGTGGTGTCACTGAAACGACCAAATTGACAACTAATAATACAATAAGCAGCTCACAACCAGTCACAAGTCAACCAGGTGTTGGACATTCCGGAAATTTAGCATCATCAGATCCTTGGGATGATCAACGGCCAGTGATTGCAATGCCACCACCACCACCACCACCTACTGCAAGTGAAACGACAAATCTAACCCATACTTATCATTCCAATTATCAATGAAAAAAGTCCATCAGCTATAAAATAATTACTGGATTACTGGAAATTGAATAAAAATAAAAATAAAATTTACCATTAGAACACAAGACACGAAAGGCAATTCTTTCAACACCAATTATGAAATATTGATCAACATCACACACACAACCCATCACTATCATCATCTTCAATAATCGTGTATTGTGCACATTGTCATGTAATAATGATTCATTCTATAGATCAACGGTATAGAATGTCTGAGAAGCGATAGGAATCATCTCCCATGTTTGAATTTTTTTCTTTTTTTCTTCATGTATCAATTATTAATTGTCATCATCAATATATCATCATTATATATTATATTATGCTATATTTATACACAAATACACAAACAGGCGCAATTATTTCATATTTTCAATCAATCAAACAATTGATCATCTATCGAAACAACAACAACAACAAAATTTGCCTTGTTACAAAATTGAATATTTCGATTACATGTTTATCTGTGTGTGTGTGTGTGTGTGTGTGTAACTGTTTTTTTTTTTGTTTTGCTTTTGTTTGATCAAAATCCTTATATACAATTCATCATGAGTCTATGTATGTAATGGATATATAAAATTAAATTAAATTTGAAATTGAATCAACTACTATTATTATTCACCATTAGACGATAATTTGTCAATTTTTCCTGACAATAATTGAGGCCATATTGTTGATATTGTTGTCGTGATACAGCATATCGGTGATATAGACTTTGATGATGATGATTATTATTATTGATTTTATTATTCTTCACTGATGGCTGACGATGATTACCACCACCATCATCATTTTGATGGCAAAGGATACGACCACCTTGCCATGCATAGGTGATGGGATTCGCTGGTTCATATACATGTACATCAATCAGATCGGGCACATAACCACGTAGATCGTTATAAACACGATCACGAAAATTGGCAAAACGACAATTACCACCGATTAATAGGATATTGCCGTATAATCGGGCACGAATATTTTCATCATCATACATTTCAAGGCCATCCTCACTAGATTGCTCAACAATCGAACCATTCGTACATTGAACTTGTGATAATCGTTGTTGTTTCGCATCCGGTGGTCGTACAGAATCGACACCATTTCCATTTCGTCCATTTTCCTCTTTCCCTTCATCATCACCATCATTGCCTTCATCCTCATCTTCATCAACATCGTCATCATCGTCATCAACTTCTTCTTCTTCCTCATCTTCTTCATCACTATCGATATCTTTCAGATTTTCTGGACGTTCACGACTACCATGATGATGAACGACCGTATTGGCATTATCAATCGAACCATTATCACCATTGCCATCTCCGGCCTGTTTGGCTGACAATAATCGAAATGCTGGATGAAATTCATTCAATGAATAGATGATTGTTTCGACAATACCGATCTGGTCCATGTTGATGTCACTTGGATGGAAAAGAATTTCGGGCACTTGAAAACGTTCATTATTCATTCGTATCAATTGATAATCAGATTTATTAATGTCACTATGTTTGTCAGAGTCATAAACAAATCCGCGTTTATAGACAATATAATCCGGAAGTATATAATCTCGCACAATCGGGTTATCTATCGATGATTTTTTCGATGCCAATTCGAGATCATGCCAAAAATCCAGCGATACATAGCAACAATCTTCTTTCATTTGATTCACAACATATGTTTCATCCAACACATTAATCTGTCTGTAGGAAAGGATTTCTTTCAGATGATTGGTCAATGCTTTTCCACCGACATTAATACGTTTTGCATGTGACAACAATTTATGGCCATCAACAAATGGTACTACATGACTGAATGAATATCCCGAATCAAGCACAAGACAACAGGATGGATCAATTTCTGTTTTTGTTCGACATTTCAATGTGGACGTGGTCGTTGTATTTTTGCGAATTTCATCATGTACATAGTGGAATGCAGCCAATTCAGGTGCCGATGTAATCAATACTTTGCCGAAACCATATTCTTCGAATAAAATTTTGATCATAGTTTGTCTTATTTCGGGGAAATTATATACTGGCTCAGTGATCAATATACCCGTATGGGAATAACGATTTTTGTTGTCCGCTTGTAGTTTCAACACGACACGAAAAACATAATCCCAAATCTGTCGCTGTACATCCCAATTGAGGAGATAGCCACGATTGAATGGTAAAATGTAAAACATTCCCGAATAATCTTTACATTCATCCATTTGATCGCCGATGAATGGTCGACGTTTTTCATTCTTCACTTTTGTCACACAATTCGGTATTAATCTACACGAGCACAAACCAATCAATCAAACAGGAATTAAATTTCAAACGAAAACAATTACCTTGGTGTCGTATCAGTGTGTAATCCGACTTTCATCGTATGTGCACCATTATCGATGATGACAATCTGATTAATCTGATCATTGGCCATGATCAAAACCGAAATATTGAATCGTTATTTGTTGGAAAAATAAAAATTGATGATGGACAATGCAATGCCTATCGACCGATTGTTTATGAAGGGATCAATTCGAATGTTTTGTGCGCGCGCACGCAGCCAATCACATTGAATTCAATTTTTATTTCACGATTTACATCATCATCATCATCATCATCATCATCAATATCATCAATATCAATCAATCATCAACATCATTAATAATGGAAAAGATTCAATTATCGAATGTAACTCGTTTCTTATCAGATCATCCTAATCTTAGTCCATCATTGAAATTGAAACTTGAAAAACATAAATTTCGTCTTGTAAATCAACTTCGATTCTTTCCTAATATTCGTGTTCTTGAACGAAAAGAATTTGGTTTCTTGCCGCAAGAAGTGGATGAAATTGAAGCTCACATCCTACGTGTAAATCATCCAGGCATAAGTTCTATTACGATAACTACATTGAATATTCGTACGGAATATATTCGTTTTGGTTCCATTGGATTCGATCAGGCATTCGGTGGAAAGGGTCTGCCCACTGGACGATTAATACAGGTGTTTGGCGAAGCAAGTGCCGGTAAATCACAGATCTGGTAAGATGCTTTACATCATCATCTTATTATTTCGGATAAATTTACATCATTTGTCTATCATCATCTAGCTTTCAACTCTGTTTCCGTGTTCGTTTAGACACGAGTGAAGGTGGCCTAAACGGCGAAGCATTATATCTGGATACAGAAAATTCATTTCGACCCGAACGAATCAAAGAAATGGCCACGAATTATTATTGTGATCGTATCCAAGAAAAATATCTACTTGAATATCGAATCGAAGAAATACTGATGGGCATACATTGTCGTTATGTTAATACACATGCAGATGACCTTTTAACGATGATTACCAATGGTCAATTGGAATCATTTCTTAATGACCATTCAAATATTCGACTATTGGTTTTGGATAGTATTGCCTATCATTTTCGTTATGATTATCAACATGACAATAGTCACCGTATCGTTCAACTAATGACTATTGCCAATAAGCTTAAACAGCTAGCCTATGAACAAAATATCGCCATCGTTATAATTAATCAGGTAAGTTTCTTGATCGATAATCAAGCATTGGGAGAACCATTTAAAACAACTTGTTCGACCACATTGAATGTAAAACGATGGGATGACGATTCGGAAAAAACTAAACGACAATGTACCGTGATAAAATCGCCTTCAGTGGCTAAAAATTTTCATTTTAAATATATAATCAATGTAAGTTTATTAAAAATGAAAATTTATGTTTATTGTGTTTTCTTTAATTTTAAAAAATTTTCATTTTCAGAAATTTGGAATCCAAGATTGTTCGGAATCACTTGGTTCAAATAGTGGTAGTGTTTAAATAGCCTGTCACATGGATTCGAAATTTTTTCCTAAAAATGCAACGTTTTGTAAATAATTTTGTCTTTCGTGTTGATTCGGTGATCATCTTGCAGAAACTATGTTATCATCATAAATTCCGCAATAAATTAATCCAACGACAACAACGGTTATTGGATAAATTCGATCGAGAAGTTCGTGACACAATGGAACGGATCAAAACAAATCAAAAGGTCAAGATTAAACGAAAAAAAGTGTCACTATCGACAACGACTAAAACTTTGATGATGGATTCGGAGAATCAAATTAATGCAATAAGAGAATGGAATTATCCTAGTGGTTCACCCGAACAATTAGTGATACGACGTCAGGGAATGCAGCAATCGTTCATAACAAGTCGAATGAGAATTTTGAACACAAATTTTCTACGTGCAACGGCTGAAATATTTGCTACGGATGCTGAATTATCGAAATTATTAATCGAATTTCGATTCCGAATCACCAATGTTCGTGTGTCCAGTGATTACCAATATATGCAAGTATATTGGACTAATGAAAATGCCGATGATCGTCAGGAAATTGGTGCCATTCTCAATAATAACAAAGGTCGTCTTCATGAATTGTTGGCTGAAATGCAATATTCACGAACTGTTCCATGGATTCTATTTGTATTCGATTTACAAGCATCGAATGAACAGGAAATTGAGCGACGATTGGAAAAATGTCGTGCAGAACTTGAGAGTATGGGGAAAATCAATCCCGAACAATCTTCATATCCACTTGTGGATCGGATTAGTACAGCTGGATCACCATCGGTTAATATAGATGACATTAAACAATTGAGTTATCAAACCCAAGCAGATGAATATGATCGGATGGAAATGCCGGTAGATATGTTTAAAAAATACGCACCCGATCTAGATTATGAAGCATTGATGAGTAAAGTGATGCAAAATATGCCACGAACAAGAGCACAACATGAGGATGATTTATCACAAATGAAAGCACTTGGTGATTTCGAGGCTGAACCATTTGTTTCGATTCCGAATTCAAAACAACCAACACAACCGATCGATTATAATACGGAAAATCGGATTAAGGCAATAAGAAAATTTGTTCAATTAAATCGAAAACGTAAAGATAAGGTTGAAAGACGATTGAAATTATCGATACTATCGGAAGAAATTGGACGTTTTGATGATTATGAAAGTCTTAAAGAACAATTAGAAAAACGGTATAGTCAATTGTTTCCGGATCAGATTGAAAATTAATTAATATTCTTGTAATGATTGATTAATGATCATCAAGTATAGCAAATGCATCCACTTGTGAACCATAGTTACGAATGTACGTGAATTTAGCATAAGTTGTCGTTGCTTTTCGAATGGACACACTAATCATGACGATAATACAAGCCATAAACAGATAAATGATCATAGAAATGATTGCCACAATGCCTAGATTATCAAACACCGGTTCATTCGATACTTCATGTGCAATCTGCAATGATTGTTCACTTAAAACTTCATCATCATCATCATCATCATTATTGTCGGAGATTTCATCCAATGTATCCTCTTGAATGATTTCACCATATCGCATTCTATAATAATGACCAGAGCAACGAAATTCACCATTAAAATCCACTGGTCTCATTTGTATTCGTACTGTTTTGTTTGAGACAAACGTCAAATATTTTTACAACAACTCTCAACAATCAAAATACTTACATGACATATAAGAATCATTGTATTCATCGATTCGAATGTCAACAATCTTTGGATTAATCTCAAAAGTCCAATTGACCGACCAACCAACTTTTGTTTCATTTATTAATGGATCGAATAGACAGTCCAGATGATCAAGTGATTCAAAAATCGACAGTGATATTATGATTGTGAAAATAATAATTATGAATAATTGCATTGTGTATGTTTAATTTAATAATGAAATAATTTTTGAAAATAACTGAAATACAACAAAAAAAAAACTAAAAGCTTTGTGTTTTTGATAAATTCAATTATTCGTAATTGTCGAAAAATGCATCGAATTGTTCGGGTGAATTTTCGTTAAATTCAGCAACAGGAGCGGTAACCTGTGTGATGAGATCTTCATTTAGATAGCGTCTAAATGGTCTATGATTGAAACAGCCACCTGGTTGTCGAATACCATGTAATATCAGCTGTACATTGGTCAATTTCAATATGCTACCATCTTTTTGCTAGTTATCGAATAATCGAATAAAATATAAACAGATTATATATTATACTAGTAGATAAATACAAAAAAAAAATTCAACATTGAATTCGAATCGAAAACACACCGAATTCTGTATATAAAGACGCCATAAGCCCACCGGATTTTCACCCCAATAATGAACGGAAGTAAGATTCCAATTGCGAAAACCTTGCCTCGAATTATCCTTCAGGCGTGGATACATCAATATGGACATTGTATCTGCCGATAGCAATATCAATCAGAAGGTGTGGTCAAATGAAACTAAATTAAATTAAATTATTAATCACGTACCTTGTGGTGAGAACATAAACATTCGGCTATTACCACGTCTGGTTGTTTCTAACGTTATTTTTACCTGTACATGTTCTAGAAATCGTATCGGACAAATGCCTTGATTTTGTTCCAGCATGAAATACACTCGAAGCATATCGCCTTTTGTTGATATTTCTTGTGGAAATAATTGCTTAGGTTGAACGATACAGATATATTTTTCAGGTACTGGATCCCATCTAATTGCCATTTGTATCAGTGATTGGGCCATCAACAGACCAAAACCAAATCGGCTATTGTAGAGAAAACCGGCACCATTTTTACGCCATCCACGTTCATCAAGCAACGGACTAAATTCTGATGTGCATACGATTAAATGCTGTACATCACGCCATGTTAGATTGGGATTCGCTTCCAATACTAATGCCAATATGGCTGCTGCTAACGGTGCAGCTGCCGATGTTCCCGAATGTTCTCTGGTACATGTATTATGTATATCAGTCGTTGCGATTTTCTTATCACTAAATGCTCCACTTGAAAATGCAGCCGCCAATGTTGATGAACATTTTTCCGCATACCACGGAAAATGACCAGACTCACTAACACTATTGATCGATATCGTATATATTGAACTGACATAACCATCACAATTACAATTATCACCACGGCTACCACCATTACCAGAAGCCCAAACATAGATATTTCCCTTTCCTTTACGACCATGTACAACGCCACGTTCAAGGGCCATTTGTGCAAGCATTTTCGGTCCGTCCACTGTCAAACCGTCTGCATTACGGATGGAAAATTATGTTTAAAAAAAATGAAACGACAATCAATCAACCTTATTACCATCACTGGGTCCCCAGCTAGCACTGTAGATATCAATATAATCATTACGAAATGCCAATGAATTTGCCTCGACTATGTCCGATACATCACCATCCAAACATCGGATACCACCGATCCGGGCATGATATGCTGCACCGACACCACATTTTCTATTCTGTGGTATCATCGACACTACACCGGCACATCGAGTTCCATGAGAATTTGAATTGAAAAGATCATATCGAGGGGCTATCATCGACACCACATAGGCAATGCCAATCGATTGGTTGGGTAAAAATTGTTTTGTTTGTATCAAAAATCAAAAATGAAATTAAAATTCGAATTCTGATTCTGATTGTGATTGTGAACATAGTGCTTACTTGGATCCGGATCATCATCATTCATATCATAACTGGCATTATGATCATAATTGGCATGTAAGTCTGAATGATTCCATTCAAGTCCTAATCGCAATTTAATTGATTAGTTGATGGCTAACAATGATGACCACTATCTTACCATCATCCAGTATGGTGACAACGACACCTTTCCCAGTGAAACCCATATCCCAAACTCGTGTAATACCATGATCAAATCGTGAAAACCCAGATGAATGTATATGCCATTGACTGGGCCATAATTCATCATTGAATTGATGGCGAACTTCATTCTGATTCATTCCAAATGAAAACATAAACTGTCTGGTTGTATCCCATAGATTACGTAGTTTTTCATTCTGGCTAATCGACCTGTTTGATTTGGATGGTGATGGAAAAATGGCTGATCGTTTCACACGAATAGCCGACCGTTGTTGTTCAAACCAAATGATCGATGAATCATTTTTCAATATTTGATCATGTTCAACAGCTTGTCGTTTCATTCGATGATTATTTGGTAAATCTTTATGACGAAGAATGTAAATATCATCGAATGCATCCAACTATAATGATGATGATGAGAAATGATGAATGCAACATAGACTAAAACTGAAAAGCTTGCCTTTCGAATGAATTCAAAATTATTACTGCGGGCCACATCTTTTGCCTTGTATACATCACCATCGATTCTTACGGCCCAAATATTCTGATAATTCTCCGCTAATGCTGCTGTATTTAGATGAATGGCTAAAATTAGATAAATCAGATCAAACCTGTTCATCGTTATCGAAATCAGAAAAAATGACAAGCAGCAACAAGTGAAATATTGGCATTGAAAAACAGCAAATGATCAGGTATTTATATTGATTGCGATCAATCAATCAATCTATCTATCTATCGACTGATAAATAGTCATTAAACATTGCAATGAAAAAATGGTCATATTCTGTTCATCAACCAACAACCGAGAAAAAATGATAATTTTTAAATCCACAAAAACTATATGATCACTTGTGAGAAGATCTATGTTTATCCATTTGGTCACGATTTGATTGTGTGTGATCTAAATTTGAATTTTTCTGGTCATTTTATTTCATCGTTTTTCTTTTTTTTCTTGCGTAGAATTCTGGGTGAATCTCGATTGCTCATTTCGAATGTGAATAAGGGAAAAAATGCAACAAAATTACCTATCTCTATGGTTGTCGATGTCAGTTTTTTTACGCTGGTTGGATTTGTTTTTTTAACTGGGTGGGGAAAACCTCTTCTTTGTCATAGAATGAAATGAAACGGAAATTGTGAACAGTGCATTGTAGTAGTTCATGTGTTATTCGCACACATATCCGTTTTCAACGATATGAAATTATCGACATCAGCACTACTAACCACCATTCAAGAGATTGAATTCATTGACCATTCACTAAACTATACGATTTCTTTTCATTTTCCACGAATTTGATGATGGATGGAAAGCAAAATCGCAAAAAATTGATGGCAAAAAATTCAAACTATTTTTCAACAAACGATGGATAGATGGCGACAATGTTTTTTATTCTGCCTTTGGACATTTAAATCACATCACATTTTACATTATTGTTCAATTGCCAGCTGGCTGTTGTTTGTGGGGATACGACCAAATAATTGTGGACAAAACTTTGCTACTAGCAATTTGATACACAATCGGCATGTGTCTTTGTGTGTTGTGTGGTGTTGTCTGTAATATAATAGCCTTTTTGGCCGACCGTCTGCTCTATTCAATTTCATTCATTCGATTTTTTCATTATCATCATCATCATCATCATCAACAACAAAATATCGTGTGTTCGAAATAATAATAATCAAACAACAAAAAGCGTCTGTATATTTTCGTATCTGATTGTCTGTTCATTTTTTATTCATTTATTTGTCCATCAAATTATCATCAGTCACAGTTTTTATCTATCTTTTTCATTTTACATTCTTATTTTTTCCATGATGACGATTTGTTTATATGCTGGTAGCAATAAACAACAAATCCTGATCCTGATATTGATTGATTGATTCGTTGTTCGAAAATTTAAATTTGAATTCTTTTTCTTAATTTTACAAAATTCTAGAATTTTTCATTATTTACTTGAAAATACAATCGAATCATTGATCATCGATGATATGTTATAATTTTGAGCAACCACCACCGCCAACAACATCGTTATCTGCCACCGAATCATCAGCGTCAACAACACAGCAGCTGTCTAGTGAAACGGTTAATAATACCGGAACGATTCTTATGATTCGTAAACATCGAACAACAACATCAACAACGGCAACAGTGGCCACAAATGATATGAATTCAGCTGCTGCTTCTGCTATGGTTGAGGATGGTTTTTATGAATCAAAATCAGCCGATATTGCTGTCGATGGATTATCATCAACATCATCATCATCATCATCATCATCATCATCATCATCATCATCATCGTCTTCATCGACAGCGGCAGCTGCAATTGAGGAATCATCATCATCATCTGCATCAAGTGGTTGTGTTCCAATGATGATGATAACAACGACAACAAATGCAGAATCAAATATTCGTTTAATATCTTGTGAACATATCATAACATGGAAACATCGATTTAATGGACAACAATTATATAGGAATCTATATCGAATTCTGATATTGGCCATCAATAAACCAAGTAGAAAATTTAAGGCAACATTATGGCGTTGTTTCGATCGATCATGTCCATCGACGCGCCTGCCAACAAGAATACATGTTTGCCTATATTGTCAGATGAGTGCCTGTTTTACTCGCAAACATATCCATCAACATTGTCAAGATACGAATCATAATTTGGGTATGTTCATGTTAACTCAATCCACTTGTTAATCTTTGGTTTTTTGTTTTGTTTATTTTGTTTAATAGCGATGGACATTCATTATGGCTATGTATATTGTTTTGATTGTGATAACTATATATTTGATGTAGAATTAGAATCGATTGCATCAAAATTACGTAGGAATGTTCTCATCCGTAATGTTGATTTTCCATATCGCTGGGAACCGAATGCTTATGATGAGGCTGTGTTCGATACATTAACCACCACACGACGATTGAATGTCCATCGTGGTTATAATGGTCTTCGTGGCCTAATCAACTTGGGTAGTACCTGTTTTATGAATTGTATCGTACAAACATTAGTCCATACTGAACCATTACGTGATTATTTTCTCGGTGATCGACATATCTGTATTCGTGATTCAACCAAATGTTTGGTTTGTGAAATGTCACAATTGGTCCAAGAGGTAATTGATTTTTTTTATTAGAAAAATTAATCTTCTCTTTTTAAAATGAACCGTTTTTATCGTTGCTTAGTTTTATTCTGGTGAAAAGAAACCACATGTTCCGGTCAAATTGCTACATCTAGTATGGACGCATGCTAAACATCTGGCTGGCTATGAACAACAGGATGCACACGAATTTTTCATTTCAACATTGAATATTCTACATCGACATTCATCAGGTATACCATTTGATGATTGAAATTTGAAATCAAATAATAATTAAATAAATATTGCACAAAATTCATATAGAATCGAATGATGGTTCATCAACCACCAGTAGTAGCAATAATTCATCACATAGTAATAATAATAATAATAATAACAACAATAAGAAATGTAATTGTATAATTGATAAAATATTCACCGGAAGTTTACAATCGGATCTCGTCTGTCAAAGTTGTGGGTAGGTCGAGTTTTGATTCCAATTTTCCAAAGTTTATTGATCCAATGTTTTTTATTCTCATCAAACAGTGGCGTTAGTTCGGTTGTCGATCCAATATGGGATTTTAGTCTTGATCTGGTCAATAATGCTGGAAATATTGAAAATCGAATGTCAACAACAATGACCAAATCATCATCATCGGCAACAGCAGCAGCAGCAGCAGCGATTAAAACACAATCATTATCATTGCATGATTGTTTGGAATTATTCACACGTACTGAACATTTAGGAAGTTCAGCCAAAATTAAATGTAACAAATGTCAAAGTTATCAAGAATCAACTAAACAATTATCATTGAAAACATTACCCATTGTCGTATCGTTTCATCTGAAACGATTCGAGCAAACAAATAAATTGAATAAGAAAATCTCAACATTTGTGTCGTTTCCAACAATGATCGATATGACACCGTTTACAACATCAGAAATTGGTCATCAAGCACGGCGACAAATGATCAATGTTCAATCCAATGATGGTGATAGTTCTGCTCCAGCTGCTGATGATGATGATGATGATGATGATGACGATAAAGATTGTAGGCCACCATTGAAAAAAATGCGAAAAGATAATAGGTAAGTGTTGGAAATGGGATTGATGTGTGTGTTATTAATAATCCAATTTCTGTGCTAGTTATTCACTGTTTGCCGTTATTAATCATAGCGGCACACTTGAAACAGGCCATTATACGGTCTATGTCCGATGTAATGGCCGTTGGTTTAAATGTGATGATCATTCAGTGACTAAAGCCACCGAAAATGATGTGCTCAATAGTGAAGGGTAAATGATGACAATGATGAGAATTGATCGTTTATTGAACCTTTTCTTTTGTATTGTTTCAGATATCTACTTTTTTATCAGAAAAATCATTATGAATTTGAATAATATAATTGTGAAATGTGATTATTAGGGGGGATACTACTCCCTCATTCATCTGGACCAACCAATTTGTGAAACAAGTTGTGATTATCACCCACATGCACATGGTTTACTCATCTACCTACATTTCATTGCACTCTACATCCACCCACCCACCCACCAGATTCTTTCTTCTTTTTTTTGGTTTCCTTTCTGAATGAATAATTGGGTTCTTCATCATCTCTCCTTTGTTTTTGTTTCTATTCAATTTTTTCCGAAACAAATGATTGTGATATCTTTTTCTCTCTCTATCTCTTTCATTTTCAATAAAAAAAAATTTTGAAATTCGAATGATTCAATTTTTCTTTTTTTGTTATTAAAAAATTTATACAAAAAGCAATGAATGAACACAGACTGAAATGAAATAGGAATAAACAAAGCAAAGAGAAACATGAAACATGAAAAAACCCTAACATTCTATGGTGACCATCGAATCAAAATCAAATTTGATTAATTTAGCCTTTATAATAACCAAGTAAATGTAGATAACGTCCAACTGTCGTTTCGGATACCTCAAATCTGGCTGCCAATTCGGATAATTTAATACCCGGTTCATCTTCAACAGTACGTTGTATAGAACGTAAAAATCGTTTCGATGGTCCTGGTCGTCCAGATCGTTTTTTTGCACTTGTTTTACCCGTTGCTTTGTAATCGGTTATAATTTTATGCACAGCTGTTTTGGATACTTCAAGGTCTTTCGATATTTTACGTATGGTTGCACCTTCTTCATATTTCCCAACAATACGGCCACGTTGAAATTCGGATATTTCAGGGCCTCGTGGCATTTTCGAATCAACAATAGATTGAAGATGGCTGTGTCAGAAACAAAATAATCAAAACAAAAAAGTTTACCTTTTCAATATGAAATTGTTTGATGATTCAATGATACAAACAAATACAAAGCCAAAAAGAATCGAGATGAAAAAACTCGAATAGATCATATGCGATATGCGCATGCTCATGTTAATATCAAATTTTTGTTGTTGACAATTCGTTTGAATTATCCACCGAATAACAACAACAATCAGTATATTTTCTTAAAAATTAAAAAATCATTTTATTCAAATTAAAAACCATATGCATTCATTATGGAAGTTTCATTTTCGTACAAATCAATTCAATGTATAAATGTGTAGGTGTGTGTCTGGAAAACCTTAACATTGTGTGTGTGTGTGTGTGTGTTTGTTGTGTTTGTGGAGGACAAATTGATGTAATGATGAGAAAAAAGGGTGAGCAAAAGTGTTTGTGTGTGTTTTGATTAAGTTCAAATTTTAGCAATCAAGAATCAACAATGATTCAATTTCGGAAAAGGGAGTTAGAAACTGTTGGGTGAATAACATTGATATTTTTTTTTGATAAAATGACGAAGGATATTTTTTTGGCAAATAACCGTTGAACGTTTTCAAGGTTTGTGTACTAAATGATATGAATCGAGTGTAATTTAATCCCAATCTTTTTTCAGTTCAAATGACCATTCCCATTTGAGGTGTTCATTGTCATCATCATCGGTAAATAATGATTTAACCGTATAGGTACCACGTGCCAACATACCGGATGGCATCTCTTCAACAGGTGTCGTATATGATTGTAATTCTTGTTTAGGTGCATAAGATCCAACCATATTGGTCGTTTTCAATACTTTCATACCATGGCGATAGATTTTTTGCTGAAATTTAAGACCGGTAACAATTTCGCGTTGAACGTAAAAATCAATTTTAATTCGATATTCGATTCCATCCTTAATGGTATACACTTTTTTCTTCACACATTCAACACCTGGCAATCAATCAGTGAAAATTTTAGATGAAGGAACAAACAAACAAAAACAGATGAAAAAACAAACCTTGGCTAAGATCGATGACCATATCGGGACGGCCATCAACCAACAATGATAATGCTTTGACAATCACACGATTAGCATTCGTTTCATCAACAATCACTACGTCTTGGATTGCTTTACCCAAAAGCGATTCTTTATATTTCATTAGACTTTCATCATCTTTATCTGTTGAGACAATATCGGATAGGGATTTCTCAGCCGGTGGTTTATAATTCAGATTCATTTCATCACCATCGCCACCATTATTATTGTCTGCATTGTTATTTTTCGAATTATCATCGGTCGACATCTTGCCTTGAATATTTCAATGTATTCACGGATATTAATCAATCAATGGCAACAGAAATAAAAATTGATCAATTAACCAGTGGAATTATTTAAAAACGGATGGCAAATAATTTGAGCACACAACAAACCGACGATTACATTGATGATGATAATCTCTATCAGAGACAATCAGTTTTTTTCAGTAAGTTTTTTTGGGTTTCGATTTTTAGTCTTTTTTTGTTTTTTTATTGGGTTTGGGGTTGCATGCAATCCAACACACAAACACACAGAGAATTGAACACTGACAGACGGCGATACTGATGCTCTGTGTTTAGTAATTACAATTGTGTTAAATATGTGCCGCCTATTATTTCGATATATCGATTGTTTCTTTTTGAACCACTACAACTTTTATTTATAAGGAATATATGGGAATTTTTTTTTGTTTTTTTTGATGAATCGTTTCCTAAGCCGACGCCTATTATAGGGATCTGGTGTGTGTGTCTGTGTGTGTATATTTCAACTAATTTCTATTTTGAAGAATTGATAAAGGGATAATCAATCAATTAATTAATTAATAATTAATACAACCAATGGATCGATGGATGAACATCTGGCAAAGGAGGATACCATCAAGTTCTTCTTTTATTTCGTTAAATTCAATGCAAATTTGAATTTATTTCAATTTGATGATCATGCATCGTGTGCAAAAACAATTTTATTAAATTTAGAGCAAATGAAATAAAATAAAAGATATAAAATTCTTATAGGTAAATTGTCAGATCCAGAATTCTATACTAATTCCTGGATTAATTTGAACTTTTTTCTAGACAAATTGAAATCAATTCTGGAAAGGGAAAAATTTACAGAACAGTTACATGAACCAGATGATCAGACATCAGACAATTGATGATGAAAAATGAAATGAAAATGAAAAAAATTTGAAACTTGATGCATTTAAGGAACGTTCTATATGTACAGGCAATTTTGACACGCGAGCTTTTATTTCGTTCGTGCTTTATTTCTTGCATTGTGTGTGCGTGTGTGTGTTGAATTCTTTTTTCCGCTGCTGCATCGGTGTGTCTGGATTTGATGCCGACTATTTGGTTGAATTGTCTTCATTGAAAAGTTATTTTCTAAATTCAACAGAAAACTATTGATTTTACCTCGTAATAAAAATTGAAAAGATCCATTCTGCCGATTCAAATTTGTGTGTGTGGCGCATTTATTTTATACAATTTTCATTGTTTAGTTTGAATGAAACACTTGATTCATCATTAATCAGCAATCATGGCCGAAGGTGATTTAATACAAACTGACGAAGGGAAAAAATTTCAATCCAATGGCACTGAATTGGATGAACAACAACAACAACAACAATCGACACAAGAACCACCCACAATGCCCGAAGAAGAACCAGAGCCAGATTTTGATGATCCAGAAGATTTTATTGATGATATTAAAGATGATGGTACGTTTTTTCTCTTTTGTCATTTAAATTTTATTATTTGATAATCAAATTCATTTCGTAGAGCTCATTGGTGATATTCTCAAAAATCGACCGAAACAAGATTTCGGCTTGAAAAGTGTCATCATTGTTGATGGCATACCGAAAGTATCGCCTGATCGTTTTGAGAAACTTCGTACTGTTTTGATGCGTTTGTTTTCTAAATGTGGTACAATACTTAAAGATCATTTTCCATTGGATGAAAATCAATTGACCAAAGGGTAAGACAATCATATTTGTCATGACTGTGCTAACATTCGATTCACATTTCGTTTAGCTATGTGTTCTATGAATTTGAAAATTCCGAACAAGCACAAGAAGCCGTCAAAACATTTAATAATCATAAACTGGATAAAAATCACATGTTTTCCGTGAATATGATACAGGATATTGATAAATATCTGGAAATTCCCGATGAATTCGAAGAACCAGAAAAGAAACCCTATGAAGATCGTGGTAACCTACGTGAATGGTTACTTGATCCAGATTGTTGTGATCAATTTTCAGTCGTTTATGATGGTGGTGATACAACAGCCATCTATCTGAATTCGAATCCTGAACCGGCATTGATTCAGAAACGAACATATTGGACTGAACAATCGGTACATTGGTCACCACTTGGAACATATATGGCCACATTTCACAAACAAGGTATCGCTTTGTGGGGTGGACCGAATTTCGAACGTTTGTTCAAATTTGCCCACGAAGGCGTCATATTTATTGATTTTTCTCCATGCGAACGTTTCCTGGTGACCCTATCGCAGCCATTAATGTTGACGAATCAGGAAAATGCCATCATCATATGGGATATCCGTATGCAAACAATTAAAAGAACATTCTATGCCGAAAATGTCCAAAGTATTGCCTGGCCAATATTCAAATGGTCACATGATGATCAATATTTTGGCCGTATCCATAATGAATCGCTTTGCATTTATGAAACCGAAACGTTTCTTTTGTTGGATAAGAAATCGATGAAAATGTCAGGTATCAAGAGTTTTGTATGGAGTCCATCGGAGAATATGTTAGCCTATTGGGTTGCTGAAGAGCAAAATGTGCCAGCACGTGTATCGTTGATCGAGATACCATCGAAAAATGAAGTACGTTCAAAGAATATATTCAACGTTGCCGATTGTAAGATGCAGTGGCAAAATAATGGCGATTATCTTTGCGTCAAAGTCGATCGTTATACAAAGGCGAAAAAAGAACGTAATGATGCCAATAAATACACTGGACTCAACTACTCATTCGATCTGTATCATATTCGTGAGAAACAAATCCCCATCGATTCGATCGAAATCAAAGAACCGATCGTGAATTTTGGCTGGGAACCACATGGTTCCAAATTGGCAATCGTGCATGGCGATTCACCATCATATACGATTTCGTTCTATGGAATCAAACAAGGCACTACTGTTACCTTGTTAAGTATGTTATTGCATTTGCTCCATATGATTCAATTGATTCTTATTATATTATATTATTATTATCCTATTTATGACAGAAAAATTCGAGAAAAAATTATGCAATAGTTTGTTCTGGTCACCAACCGGTCAGTTCATTCTATTGGCATCATTACGTAGTGCCAATTATACATTGGAATTTGTCGATACATCCGATTTCTCTCGTACAAACACACAGGAACATTTCAAATTGAGTGATGTTGAATGGGATCCAACTGGTCGTTATGTGGTCACTAGTGTTAGCTATTGGACCAATAAGGTTGGCTCTTTTTCTTTTCATTTTTCCAATGTTTCTCAATATGACCAATTTCAATTCCATTACAGAGCGATAATGCCTATTGGGTATGGTCATTCCAAGGCCGTCTTTTACGTAAACAAATTTTGGAACGTTTATGTCAATTTTCATGGCGTCCACAACCACCAACATTGTTGAGCGAAGAAAAGATTAAAGAAATTCGAAAGAATCTAAAAAAATATGCCGATGAATTTGATGCCAAGGATCGTATGGCCTATTCGAAATTATCGAAAGAAATGATCGATAAACGACAACAACAATTACGTGAATACAAAGAAATCTGTGAACGTAATCGACAGATTGTTGACAGTCATCGTGAAGAATTGATGCAATTACGTGAAATATCGGAAGAACAATCACAACAAGAATATTATGAAGAAGAATATGAATTCCTTGTCAAAGAGGAAACGGTCGAACTTGATTGATGTTCCCGATGACATCAAGTAAATAACAATTTTAGCTATTGGCCGAATATGTAATTCTGGATTTTTTCAACATTATTATTATTATATTATTATTATATAAATATAAATTCAACAATCAACAAAAAAAATTAAACAGCTGATTTTTTTTTATTATTCATAAATAAAAGCTATCTTTTTCCCCATTAAAATGTCTAATCGAATTTATTTTTCACGTCCAGTATTTGATCAACGGATACAATTTTCTCTCGAGGTTTACCTTCTTTACGGCCTTGTTCACGTTCAAATTGATCGATACGTTTCCAATCAACAAAATCAATGACAATGGCTTGACGTTTCTGCAATAACGGCCAGATTTGATCGTAACCACGTTTCATCGTGTCAGTATCGAGACGTCCATCTTGAATATCTTGTAAAATATTTTTGCCAACTTCAAAACTGGCTGTCATTGTATTCAATATGACACCGGTTGCACCGAATGCAGCCCAACCAGAACAATATAGATCTGGATTATTGATAACACGTCCTTGTTCGTTGAGGATGATACCTCGACGATGATCAAACGGTAAGGACGGATCTAATGGCACTGATTTATATCCGATACTACGGATTAATATTCCACATGGCTCATCGATTAGTTCATTATCACAAGTGGCCATGATTTTTGAATCTTCACGTACATAATCATCCAATCGATTTTGTTTTAATCGTACACTTGCCAAGGCCATTGGTTTATCCGATTCTGAACAGATTTCAACGGGTGTTAGGAAAAACTTGAACACACATTCTTTTGAACAATTTTTCCTTTCATATGATTCATCGATTATACGTCGACATAATTCGGCCAATCTTCTACGTGGTCGTGGTAATGATTCCTATGCAAACAACAAATTATCAATTATTAGAAAACGTTCAGGTAAATCAACTTACGATAAGTTTATCATTAAAATCTAAGTGTTCACGTATCGATTGCGGCCAATCGAATCGAACATGACAATCGGCCATTTTGGTAAGCTCACGAAATTCTTTGATTTTAAATGCAGCTTGTAATGGACCACGACGGCCAATTATCACTACACGACGTATATTTGAATTTGATAATTTTTGAAATGCATGACTTGTTATATCCGTTTTCTACATACACAAAGAAAATACAGACACAAAGAAACATAACACAAACATAAACAATTTTCCAATGTGATGCATACCCTAAGAAAATCCGGTGGTGTCAATAGAATACGGGCACAATCCAGAGCTACATTACCTTGTCCAATAATGATGGCAGTGTTACAAGAATTATTTAAAGATAGTTCCAGATCTTTATCCTGTGGTATACCGTTATACCAGCCAACAAATCGTCGTGCTGATATAACATTACCAAGCGATTCGCCCGGTATGTTTAACATTGCATCCTGTGATGAACCATAACATAATACAACAGCATGATAAGCGTCACGTAATTCCTGAAATGTAACATCGGTACCGATATTAATATTTCCAATGAAACGTGTACGATCATTCATGGCCACTTTGGTGAATGAATTGATAACATTCTATAAAATGTGCATAAATATAAGGACACAAATTCAAATTCAAATTCAAATTGCAATTACAATTAACCACCTACTTTAACTTCTTGATGATCAGGTGCTACACCGAAACGTACCAAACCAAATGGAACGGGAAATTTTTCATAGATATCAATATTCAAATTTGGATACTAATTCGAAATTAAACCTGAATCGAAAATAAATTACACTCACCTTTAATAATTGTTGACTGGTATAAAAACCGGCAGGACCACTACCAATGATGGCAATTTTATATTTACAATCATTTGATTTTATATCACTGGCCACCGATGATAATGATCGCTGACAAACATTCAGGCGGCCATTATAATATCGATTTCGATGACAATTTAATGATAATAACGTTCCGCGCGTATCAAACAAAATGGAAAGAAAACAATTGACGTCTACATTTCTACATTTTGTTGACAATCTTTTTATTATCAACATTATTTTATGGAAAAATTTTACAGAATTCGATTCTAACAATACATTATTTACAGAATTTTCTTTTCTTTTCTTTTCTATCGAATCAAAATGACTCGAAAATATCACCCGAAAAAATTCCTAATTTATAAACTCGCGAGTACAAATGTTTCTCACGTGACTAATCATATTGGATAACGAACGAATCTATCGATAATTCAGTAATCACATGATAAACACATGCATTCGATTTCGATTTTTTAAATTTTCAAATTATTCATTTTTGAATTTTCATTGTTCTTTCTCGCGTCCATCAATGATTGTACGATGTTTTCATCGAAGATTATTGTATCCACCATCATGGAAATCGTCGTTCATTTTGATGATTGGCCGATATAAACATTACGGAAAACCAACAAGTTGGTCCAAATATTTTGAGACACTCGAAAAGAATATCTTTACCAATCGAATCAGTCAGCAAAGACCTAGCAATATGAAATTCATTCAATATGAAAACATATTCGCTTATCATGTGATAAAATTATCGATACCTTTTGCTGATCATGACCATAATAATGATATCTCGACGTTTAAATGTGATTTGAACCGTTTTTTCAGTTCGGACGAAAATGGTGTTGATGATATTAACGCAAAAATTTTGGCACTGAACATTGAACAAATAATCAATCTGATGAAATCGTTGTACCATAATCTGCCTGTGTTCACAAAAGAAGATGAATGGAATAAGGCCTTTCTCGATTCGCCATTCAGTCGTATTTGGCAACATTTAGATTCATTATTAACCAATCGAATCGAACAAGATTGGTCTGCGAACAAATCCAAATATATGCTCATCTCGAGTCTCTGGTTTGAACTTGGTCTCGGACAAAATGTTTGTTTTAATAAAAGTTTGATGAAGAAATTATTAGCCGAACAGCAATTGGATAAATCGATGGTCTTATATCTGATGTTTCAGGCAAATTTGGCAAGAAATTCAATCACTGCCTTGCAAAGACGTACGATGATTGAAAAGATTCATTTATTTCTAAACGAAAACAACGAATTGACGGTAGATGAACTATCATTAATTGGAGTGGGTTTTTTCAAAACTCAAACACGAATGCCTTTAGAATTACTTCGTAGCTATATTGAATCATGTACTGAACAATTATTACAATTTTATCCAATACGTTCGACAATATCGATTGTATCCATATTGAAAATTATACGTTTTTCTCTTGAAACAATCGAATTTAATCGACAAAAATTACGAACACAATTGAACCGTTTTGTCGAAATATTGGGTAATCATCCATCGAATTTTTTTGATTCGGAAATATGTTTAACCCATCTAATACTAATGCTCAATTCGATATTGATAATTGATAGAAAATTATTTCGTCAAATATTTGCCAGAATGATGGCTAATCTTTCTATATTTCGTATCAAAGATATTGAACGGATACTATTCTGTTTGGCTAATGTACGATTCCAATGTCCGGTTGGACAATTACGACGTTTAGAACAATATCTATGCAACAATGATGAGAGTCGTTTATATCCCAATTGTACGTACAATATTCTCCTTTCACTGTTTATGATGGGTTATGAACCGAAACAATTGCTTGGCCGGTGTGTCAATCAACAACAAATTCAAGATTCAATTGCGTCATCAAAAATGATTCTTAGTACTCAATTGCTAACATTAGATAGCATAATGAGACTACGAAATCGCAAACCATTATTGGATGAAAAACAAATTGAACAATTTCAATCATCATTAGCCTATTTATTCGATAATCTTCACACACAAAAAGGTCGTTTCATTCAATTCATTTATGAATCACTTCGCCAACAACAATGCGATGGTCGAAACGTACAGCTAATGTATCTATTACCATTCATTACATATCCATTCCCGGTCATTTTGAACAAATCAAATTTCATTTCAAAATTGAATGATGATCGAACATTTTGTCCGTTTGTCGATAGCATACCATATCGAGCTGATTATTTGAAGCGAAAATTTTTCCACGGTAGTTATGCCATTCTACCATTGATGGAAAAAGATTATACGGTTGGATCATCATTACGTGGAACGATACATTTAAATAAATCGTTGCTCGAAGATCTTGGATTTCGTATCATACCAGTTGAACATCGTGAATTTCGTCAATATTTCATCCATCATGATGATGATGAAAATAATACAATATATTCAAATGCAAAAATACAATCGCTTTCGCTTTTATTATTTAAAGTGCAAAAATTTATTCAAAGTAAAAAAGGTTAATAAACATAACATAATCATCAAATTATCAAATCAAAATCAAAATCAATCAACAAGTAAGAATTTCAATCAAATGTCTCAGTCGTTCTGCAATATCTGTGAAAGTTCGTTTTTGATTGAAAACATTTTCATTTGCTAATTTAATGGCCAAACGATCAATGATACTTTCTGTCAATTTGGTTATATTAAAATCGACAATCATTGATCTACAGGTTTGTAATAATATTCGATCCTCTTCCAATGTCCAAGCCGGTGTTTGTACTGTCAGTTTGTTCCAATCCAATTTATTTGTTCGTAATGGAGAAGATGATGACTGTTGTTGATGTCGTTGATGAACGTACTCAACTAATTGTAGACGTTTCGAATTCGTTGATATTTGTGGCAGATAGATCCGACCAGAAATGAATCGAATCGAACACATTGTACAATGATTGTTGGCTGCTGTTGTTGTCGTTGTTTCGGTCGTTTGATGATGACATTCCCTACATGGACATTCATTCGTACCATATTTCGAATCATTCGGATCGATTGGAATCGTACAATTTTCAATAGAAAGTTCATCATCATCAACAACGACAACAACATCCGTGTCCATTTCAATATCGGTTGGAATGGTGAATTCATCAAAATCTTCAGCATCACTATAAAGATGATCGGATGGTGAATCTTCTAGGAATAGCGAGGAAAATTCTTTCATTAAAAGCGGATGATTACTGAGAATTTTCGATACAGATGTTTTGATTTTTGTTCGTTGTTCACTGGATGTATGTTTATGTTGTGACAATGATTGATTTAATAAACGGATCATTTTCTGCACACAATTTTGTTGTTGATTTGGATGGCCATCATAGACGAATGATAGATATAGTTCAAGTTTACGGAAAAATTCCAAGGTTCGTTGCCAATGTAGATATTCAAATGTTGATCGATTATTCATCAAATAGTGATTGCTATCAGATCGATCGATAGAGAACAACACCAACAACAGTAATAATTCGATTAATTCATCGAAACCATCGAGAACTTGTTGTCTGAGGACAGCATTGTCAGCATGTTGTTCAGCATATTTACAACGAATTTCGAAAAGAAATTCACGAAGTTGATTATACATTTTTTCATGTGAATACGGTTGATCATTGAAATTGGAAATTAATTCCAAGAATCGGAAATAATCTTCATCATATACAAGTAATTTACGACTACGTTTTAGATAATAGCTGATTAGACGATCATTAATCGAATCGATGTTCGATGATGCACCACCGGTCGAATGTTCAATAATATATCGGGATGATTCCCGTTGCAAAGCTAATAATTCGGATTTTCGTCGATTAATACGTCCAACATCATCTTGATCTTGGTGTGATCGTTGTTGTGGTTGTTTACCATGTTGACTATTGGCAACAGTTGTCCAACTGGCCTCCATTAATGCCATCAAATCTTCTTCATCATCACCATCATCGTCAACATCTTCATCTTCGATTTCTTCTTCATCGTCTTCCTCGTCTTCTTCTTCGACAACATTTTTAGCATGATCGTGTTCATCATCAACTTTATCAATTTCCACATCATCATTATTGTTATCATCAATTTCAATGTCTTCGAATTCTGCATAATCGTCACAATTTTCGTCCGCCGATATCTTTGGGGATGCGCGACTAGCGGGTATTTCTGGTTGATTTGGAACTATATCACTAATAATTTCATCATTCTCAACGGGCCAATTCGCTTCCAAGGATTCTTGTGTTGATGGACAGATTTGTAATGGCTTAGAAATCATAGAATGTTCATCATTCTTTGATGATTTGTAATGATTTGATTTTCTATATATTCGTTTTGGTGTTAGACTGGCAATTGTATGGAATGAATAACTTTGATTAGTCAAAATATTTTGTATGATTGTGCCATCGGCATATATAGTTTGTTGGCCAGGTAATGCGAAAATTGGTAAATTACCATTCGAATCTGGTTTAGGTACGATTGTTTGATATTTACTTGATGATGATGGCGATAAACTCGTCGTTGATTTGGCTTTCTGTTGTTCATTACAATGTTGATCATTGTTATTATTTTTCCTTGAATCATCAATATAGAGTATAGGATTGATTGAATCATCTTTATCCATATATTTCTGATACCAATCTGGCAATGGATATAAATGATAAATATTCGATAAATTTTCTTTGCTAAAATATCGATTAAATGGAAGCAGTTTATTTTCCCGAAAATAATAAACAATTGGATTAGTGAACCATTTATCATATTTTTGTGGGTCAATTAATTGTTGGTTAATTTTTTTAATTTTCATCAGCTTTAAATATTTGACATGATGACATATTGAATGTTCCGAATGAATTGGCAACAGATTATTATGAATATATTTATAAACAGAATTATTACGAGTCGATTTACGATTTGAAAGAAAAAATTTCTCAAAACCAAATGCAATTAGATGATCATCAGCTTCAGTGAATATTGTCTGTGTGGATTTGTTACGTGATAAAAAAGGTCGAGATGGTAATGCCCATCCAAATGGGAATATATCACGATGTTTGATTAGAAATGATTTTAGCTGAGATGTCAATACTGTACCGAAATTGGAGTTACGTTCCTTTTCAACAATATCATCACCATCGTGTTCGATCAGTTGAATAGCCGGTTCAAGATTTCGAATCAATCGTAAAACATTCCTATCATTCTTTAAAGATAATTCATTCAATTCTTCAAGCATTTTCCTATATCCGTTTTGGATTTTATTATCATCATCATCATCATAACGAATGGATAGGATCCAATCCTGTGTAAGTAATTGAGTGTGAAAACTTAGCTGATGATAAAGAATTTCTAATTGATTATTCGAAAATGAATGTTGCTGCTTATCACAGTCGGATTTGGTTTGGTCGATCAGTTTTGTTTGACTCGGTTCTTTGCCATTATCGGTGGCCGGTGTGTTTTTGAATGTTTCATCGAAAAAATCAAGAAATTCTTTGAAATCATCAATATTACAGACATCCTGATATACATTATAATCCTGGTCATTTGGATCATCGTCATCATCGGCAAATAATCGATCTAAATCACTTTGTTGAAATGAATTGATAAATTGTTGATAAAGATCATCATTCGGATCTAACTCCATTATTGAATCTAGTAATTTTCTTTTCAAATGTTTGCCACATGAAAAATGAAAACAAAACAATCTCAGAGCGCGCATGCGTACATTCATTTCAATGTATCCAATGTATTGAGTAGGATAAATTATTATACAAATTAAATCATACACACCATATGTCATGACAGAGATTGATTCTTTGAATTCAAATTTGGCCATCTAAAAAAATCTGATTATAATTTTGAGCAAGTTGGATCGATGGATAGCCATGTGCATCTGATAATTTGATCTATTCACATTCATATTGGCTATGATATTTGCAACATAAGAAAAGATGGGAGGAAATTCTTCCGGAGAATCTTGTTCAATCATTATTGATTCGAAAAAATCCAAGTCACAAACAACTATTGAAAATCTACCAACGTTGGCCATTGAATTTATTCTAAGTCAATTAACCTATTATCAATTATTACAAATTCGACTTGTATCTCGTCATTGGTATTCTTTAATTCAAGGTAAATTCTTTATGATCACTTCATTAAATTCAATTGATTAAACCTGTTTCCGTTTATAGAATATCTGTCACGAGCGGATCGTAATTTTTTCATTAATCTAACCAATTATCGTGTGCAATGGGTTGCCGTAAAAGAACAAGTCAAATATTGTAATCAACATCAATCGCAGAAATCAACAGCAGCCAATGCCGAATTCAAATACGAATTGAATCTAAATTCATCGAAAAAATTACGAACAATTCCACGAATGTCACCAAGACTTCATCATCTGGCTTGTTATGTTGACAATTACATGTATGTTTATGGTGGATGTGTATCATTGACCACTACGTATAATGATCTTTGGCGTTTCGATACGACAAGCAAACATTGGTCACGAATTGTTGCCGAAGGAACTTTGCCACTACCACGTTTGTTTGGCTCATTATCTCTATACAATTGTCATGAAAATAATGGTAACGGTGTCCAAATCCGTAAACAATATCTCGTACTGTTTGGTGGAATTGTTTTCAACGATAAACTACAGCCACCAACATTTGATGATCGTGATCGTCTTCTCAAAACAATACATTTATTCGATATTCAATCAAATCGATGGACACTAATCCAGATTAACGGTTCGATCGAATTGAAATCCTGTCATCACACGGCAACAATTGTTGGTGATGAACTAATCATTGCTTGTAATGGCCATAGCTTCGTTAATGAGCGCCCTATCGATGGTAGCGATGCAGCAGCCTCCTTATTTGTATTCGATTTACGAAAACATTGTTGGCGTTGTCAACGTACAGTAGGACCTATGCCAACAGCATTATTATTCAATTCTGCACGTGTCATTCCACCAATGGCCACACCGGCAATGATATTACAATCAGCTAAAGAATTATTCTGTAGTCGTACACGTGCCATACCAAATTCATTCATAATGGATGATCATCATATATTGTATATAAGTCATGTATCAAATTATTCACAACAAGCATCACCTTCTGCATCCCTATTAAAACGTACTGGCCGTTGTCAACAATGGCCAAATTGTCTGGAATGTCGACAAATGGCCGATGACGCTAATGACGCTGATGATGATAATGATAATAATGGTAGCAGTGGTCACCATAATAATAATGATAATAATCAAACACCATGGCAATGGCAACCCATTGATTTATCAAATGTTGAACCTGATCTCAAATGTGGCAATATCTGTATCATTAACAATCGTTTATTGGCTTATTTATCGGTGAAAAATCGATATTTTTATGAATCAAAATCAACAAAACATGCCATGTTCAGTCAACCACCAGCACCACCCATAATATCGCAACCAGCCAATGCAATGAATAATAATACTTTGATTACAACATCAACATCGAATCCAGTACATCCAGTGGATAAACGTTCAATTTTACATGAACGTCGTATTGAAAAATTGGATTATTATAAACGTTATTATGAAGATCGAATCTATCGTAATAACGCAGCCAACCGTTTGAATAATGAGAATCAACGACAATATTCACCAATAACAATGAATCGCAATTATAATGTAACACAAAAAATTACATTACAATTACATCTACTAGACATTACAGAGGTGATTAGTCACCGAAGAATACGAAAACTTCGTCCCATACGTTCAATGGATTATACAGTGGCACCAAATGCATTCAATTATTATTCATTAGTGGCAACACCTGAATCACTGATACTATTCGGTGGTTATTTTGTCGATGAAATGTATAAAGATATACAGAATAGACTATTCTTACTTGTATCGAAACCAGAAACAAGTATCGATTAACCATACAAAAAGAAAATTTATTATTTGCATCATCATCATCATCATTATCATTAATTTGTCTTTTAATCAAAATAGTAATGGTAATAATAATAATAATAATAATGATATATCACTTTTTTGTTTTTGTTTTGTTGCCGCCAAACAAACAACAAAATATCAATAGAAACAATCTCCACAGCAGGTGTGACTATTTTTACATGATTAATCCTTCTTATTATCTTTATTAGTGACTGATTGCATCTTTTGTAGTTGTAGTTGTTGTTGAGTTCGTTGTTGATTTCTTGCGAACAAAATGAAAATATTTTCCAATGTTGTATCGGATATAATATAATCTTCGAATCGTAATTCTTCATCTAATTGGGCCATTATTTCAAATAATTCGGACCATCGAATCGATTTATCGGCAATCTGATATGTCATTAAACATTGATGATGATCACTTAATTGTGCCGATGGTATGGCTGCAACGATTCGTTGTTGACATTGATCAGCATAATCACTCATTTCATGTTTACGTTTCAAACGAATCAAGATCGTGTATCCTTGTCCATATTTTGCACGTAAATGTTGTGTGGATCCAAGACAACGGAAACGTCCACCAACCATGATGGCTATCCGGGAACAAAGTGCTTCACATTCTTCCATCGAGTGTGATGTCAATATGATAACACTATTGAAATGATTACGAATAAGCTCAAGTGTGCGCCATATCTTTCTTCTTGCACTTGGATCAACACCAGCAGTCGGTTCATCCAGAAACAATAATCGTGGATTACCAATCAACGATACAGCAATTGATAATTTTCGTTTGTTACCGCCACTATATGTTTCGGTTCGTTTGCTTGCATGTGTTTGTAGATCAACCATTCGAATCAGATCATTAACTTCGGTTGTTAGTCGTCGAAATGGAATACCACGTAGTGCACCCATCAATTGAAGTGTTTCCACTCCGGTTAAATTATCCAATAATGCATCGAATTGTGGGCAATAACCAATGTTTTGCTGAAATCGGCACAAATTGTTGATCACATTGATTTTGCCCTCCATATAGGCATTACCATCACTTGGAAATAGATCACCAGTTAACATTGAAAATGTTGTAGTTTTACCAGCACCATTAATACCCAACAATCCAAAACATTCATCATGACGTACACCGAAACTAAGATGATCGACAGCGGTGAACGAACCAAAATGTTTGGTCAATTCATGTACGATCAATAGGTCAGAATTTTCACGTTGAACTGGATCATTTAGAATCGATGCGATACGTTCTTTTTCTCGACAAACATCAGAATCTTCAATAGCTGCCAATTGTATGGGTTGTGGTCGATTTCGTCGAAATATTCTGTACACTAGATTTTCAATTGAACGTACGAAATATTTACGTGCATATTGTTGAAAATTTTCATATAAAATGATCAATACCATAAAAAGTAGACCAGATCCTATTAATGAATAGATTTCGGGACCAGAACCAAATTTTCCAAATGAAAAACTACCAGAATCATAGCAGGAATCATCTTTGCTACAACGATTTGGACAACATCCTAGCACCATTTTTGTCATGCTTCCAAGGTCCTCGGTCGAATTACATATGTGGCCTAACTCTTCACTGGGCAATGTTTTACACATTTTTACAAACATGTTTGCTTTGTACAGTTTTTGATAGCCAAATAACATTGAAAATATCGGTATGAATCGAATAATCGGTAATACTGATTGTGTCCAATCTAAATACAATGATGAAAGTTCAACACCAGCATTATTGACAAAAATATCCAAAATGCTCCAGAATAAATTGGCAATCAGGCCCATGATTAAAAACATGATGACCACGAATGTGAATCCGGATGAATGAACATCGAAAATGTAGGCGAAAAAATATGCCAATGGTATTGTAGCGATACCAAATACAAATAAAATGACAAACAACACTTCAGCTGTGTAGTAGGTGGTGGTAATGGGGGGAGGATAGATTGAAAAATATTTAAGAATGTTTAAATGTTTAAAATAATGTGCTAAACATACCTGAAGATTTGGAACTAGTATCGAAAAACACTTTATCCGAATCGAATAGATAGATAAATAGGTAGAGAACCGATATGGCCACTAAATGATAGACTAAATCGAATACAAATTGACTTAGCCAGAATATCGTTGGTGATACACCAGACATCATTTGTAATAATTTTGATTTCGAGGTTCGTTCTTTAATCGGATAAAGAACATATGATGCTGCCAAAAATGGAAATGCAATCGGTAACAAAATGAGACATGTAATCAACCATGACATTATCGAGGTTACTAATGATAATATCATCGATTGTGATTGTCCATTCATTTGTGTTTCAATCATTATCGGTTGCAAAGTCATGTCGATGCCAACTTTTGATTTCGTATCTTGTGGACTATTCATTTCGAGAAGTGAATCAAAAAATGTTTTTTCAGATAACCAAGCAGAATAAGTTTGTTCATTATTGAACCAGATTTTATAAGGTTCTTTTGTTCCATCATCTTGCATTCCAAAAAGAACTTTTTGTACAAATTGTCCAATATTATTATCATTTTGATTAATGATAAAATCTTCATACGATACGGGTGAATTCAAATCACCAACAAAGGTAACATGACCATGGTCACGATCAGAAAAAATACGTTCATATGATCGATATAACGTTTTTCCACCTTGATAATATGATTCCGTATCTGGTCCATATAGTTGTTCAGTTTTCATTGCAATAGGATCAAATTTTGTCTGCAAATTTAAACGAGTGAATATAGCAGTGATACGCATAGCCACAAAGAATATTAAAATTGGTACAACCAATTGTAGAACGACCATTTGCCAATAACGTCGAGCATAATGAAATCGTTTCAAAAATAGAGCCAAAAATTGATTCACAATTAGACTAAAACCAGTGACCATTTCGGATTTTGGTGTTAAACTTGGTTGTTTTGGGGACTGATCATTTTTATCATCACCATTAAGACGATGATTCTTTAGACGGCCAAGCTTGGAAAGTTCTGATTCTAGGATTGTATCATCATCCTCAACGGCTAGGAATACATCTTCCAATGTTGAATACGACAAACCAAATGAATTGATTCCATATTCTTTAAGATTATTTTCCAAATCTCGAAAAAGTGGTGGGAACTGTCGAATTAATTGTTTTTTTTCATCATCATCATTATCATCATCATTTTTATCAATTTGGTCCGATGATTCTTTTTGCCTACTATTACTATGTTGGACATTTTTCTGATTAAATGCATAGATTACTTCGGATTCCATTTCTGATTTTAGGCTCACTGTTGGTGCATAGTGAGAAATGATGGAAAGGAAACCTTTCGAATTAAAGTGGGCAGATTGTTTTTCAATACGAAGTTGATAACCGGTACCGAAGGCATTTTTCAGGAAAAATGGCGTACCACAACAGCGAATTCGACCATGACTCATTATGGCAATACGATCGCCCAACACCTAGGCAGAAATCAAAAGACAATTTCAGATACACATAACGAAATAAATGAAGAAAAAACTTACATCTGCTTCTTCCATATAATGAGTGGTCAACAGAATTGTCTTCTCACGACGTAATGAAATAAGTAAATCCCATATGACACGACGTGCTTCTGGATCAAGACCAGATGTTGGTTCATCCAATATTAATATTTCGGTAGGTCCAATCAATGCCATACCAAGTTGTAGTTTACGTTTCATACCACCGGATAAACCAGATGCTTTTACATTGCATTTATCCGATAATTGTAATAGATTCAATATACGTTGCACTTCTTGATAAACATTAGTAAATTTAGCATTTTTCAATATGGCAAACAATTTTAAATGTTGAAACACTGTCAATTCGGGAAATATAATATTTTCTTGAGTACAAAGGCCAATACTTTGTCTTGCCAAACGTGTCTGTGTGAATACATTATAACCATTAACGTAGATATTACCGGCCGTTGCAGGATAAATTCCGGTTATCATATTCATTGTGGTTGATTTACCGGCACCATTATGACCAAGTAATACGGTCAATTGATGATTATAAATGTTAAACCATATATTATCGACGGCGACTTTATTACCGGAAAATGTTTTTGTTATATTACGAACTTCAATAGCTGATTGGAGGCCAATAGGATCTGGTTCAAATGCTTGTTCATTCAATTCAGGTCGATCATCGTTCATAGAGGATTTATTTTTTATTGGACGCCAATATGATGGTTCAAATAAAAACCATGGATGTTTTGGCACACCATATTGAAATGGCCAAACACTGTCCAGATACCAGATAAGGAATGCATATAGGAAATAAGAAATAAAAACTGAAATCATCACTATCAATGTGGTTAGATCGCCATATCCAATTGTGGTCGAATTAATTGTTTCGAATGTAAGACTTTGATCAAAACTTTCAAATATTCCCAGTATTGATATGAACCACATAATCGATCCCATCGGTAACATTGATAGAAAAAATCGAATAGTGAAACATGTATTACCGACAGTATCGCCATTGATCGATGGTACCCAACCACGAAAGATAATTACACTGATTGTTAACCATAGGATTGTTGTGACAATTACAGCCAACACGGGTCTAAATAGATTCAATAGATTCGAATGTCATTCAAATTGTACACTGTGATTGATAATTATATTCAGATAACTCACCTATTGAATACGGTCGTGATTAGCATAGAAAACATTACCAATTGCACTCCAAACATTATGAATGTGATGAAAAATAACAACAATGATGAACGAACAATCATTGGATTCTGGAAACAAACCAGTGCAATCGTAATAGAAAGTGCATGAATCAAAATAATGATAAAATAGTTGATAAAATGAGTGGTCCAGAATACTGAATCGGCCATACCAATCATACGTAATAGTTCTTTGGATTTGCTTGATTTTTCATCTGTTATACGTTTGACAATCAATGGTACAAACACCGTATACGATATCAATATAAACAATGCCAGTAAATCGAACACGGAAAATTCAGATACTTTTGGATCACGATATGCTGGATATGGCATACGCATCAATCGTAATTGATTCAATTCAATCGTCATATTGGAATATTGGCGAACAAATTCTCTATTTATACGACTTGTTAAATCGATAAGAGGTATCATCCACGGGTCTACATAATCTTTTGGTGCTTGAGTTATTTTGTTTGGATAGGCATTCAAACTGATTCGCGCTGTTAATTTTGCCGGCAACAATAATTCATAATCAAGATGAGCATTTTTTAGATCAATTTCCCGAAAATTCAAACCCAATATTGTTGGATCAAAATCGAACATGGTACTATTGATCAAATCATTTTGCATTTGATTCGAAATTGCTGTTACGTTATCCATTGGTATGACTTTTGTTTTTATTATTTCACCTTTGTCATCTGTAATTTCCACTGGAAGATTCATCAATGACGCGACCAATGTTTGTAATAAACGTCGTGTTTGTTGATTATCCGGTGTATAATAAATCTTTTTAGTAATTGGCATTGCGGCGATAAAATCGATTACATGAATTGGATTACGGAAACGATGTGCCGGTTTCATTGTACCATCATCGTCAAGTGTAGTCAATAATTTGCCAGGTTCATCATTGTCATTGTTTGAATTATCATTCGGTTTTCCAAATTTCATATTTGTATTTGAATAGATGTATGTAAATAAAAATATCAATAAAATTGGACTGACCAATTCGAAAAATGTTGATATATAATGCACACGACGTACTATCCATGATTTCCATAATAAAATAAACATTTGTTTCAAATAAAGATGCATTGCTGAACCTTCGTTTTGACGATGTTGTCGACGATTAGATAGTAGATGAGTTTCAGGACCGGCAGTTGATGAATTTGATGATTTTGTCGATACCGTACTTGTGGATGACATAATTTTTGTCTATTGCTAAAGAATAGTAAAGTTAAATAGAAAAGAAAAATAAATGGGTGTTCAATGTAAATTCAAGTTTCAAACAATGACGTTTTGATCAACGATACGGTCGATTGATCACACCGAAGATGGGTGGCTTTCGAATTTTATTTTTTTTTTTTTTTTTGTGGGATGATTTGATTGGGGTTTTGCACATCAGCAACAATGTTAAATCATTCTCTGACTAGATGATGATGATGATATTTTATATTAAATTTTTTGCAACTATGAATATGGATCAATCAATAATTTCCTATATTTACAGGTCGCTATGGATATTCAGATTAAATAGATACGACGTCAGTTTCTATATGCCAACAACAGTGACATTTTGCAACGCAATCAAATTATGAATCATTTACCTTGACAAAACAAAAATGGATTCAATTTTCGATAATCCTTTAATTTATAAGCAACAGACCCGATATTTAATACTTGATCGTTGAAACGTTCATTTATAAACTATTGAAAATTGATTGTTAATGCAATTTTAGAAAAAATTAATAATAAAAAAAATAGTAATAAACAGGATTAAATTAAAAATAAACAAAACATTGCTATTGGAAATAATCAAATCAAAAGTCATTAGTGTAATTTCGATTTGAATTGATCTTGTTCTCTGTTAAGTAATTGATTCATCATTGTTTCGTAGTATATGGCAACTTAGATTATGTTTTTTTATGGCTCAAGTTTTTAAACATCAACCACCATATAATGAATATAATAAACAATGACTCAATAAACATAAATACATCTTTTTGTTTTATGATTCATGATGACACATGATGATACACACCTAAAAAACCAAACCCATTGCAGACATAATGCGGAATTATTAATTATATTATTAACAATGTTGATAAATTCATTTTCTGAAAATAAAAATTGTCAAAAAAACAATGCTATTTGACATTAAGAAATACGCATGTGTCAATCACTATGCACTAGTGTTTATGAAAGGTTCAAACATTTTATTTGATTATTCGAAATTGTCATGCGTACAAAATTGTGGCCGTTGGTGATGAGCAGATTAATGAGCCCGGTCTTTGTGTGAGTTTCACAATCAAGTGTGTATTTTATGGTAGCGAGGCATTTTTTTTCTTCGATCAATATTTCGCGCTTGCTAGTCTTGTCAAATTTTTGCTTAATTTTTCAATCAATTTCTTTTTGACCATTACTTTTATCAGAATTATCTCTCACTCATACAACTAATCAATCATGTCCGATTCAGTTGATAATAAAAATGTAACGGCCGATGACAATACCACTGTTGCTGCTGCTTCTGAAACGAAAGTTGAAGTTGAATCTTCATCAACCAATGAACAAGTAGCAGCAGATGTTTCGAAAAATTCGGAAATAAAATCAGCAACAGAAAGCGATACAAAAACTGAAATTGAAGAAGAAAGATCGACAACAACGACAAAAGGTGAAGAGAAAATGGACGTTGATGTAAGTTTGGAATCGGATAATGTAACATTATGATTATTATGATTATGATTAATTGGTTTATTTTGAAAAATTAAACAGGAATCAAAAGATGTCATCTCTGCTGAAACCGCAAAAGAAACATCTGTAACTGTTAAACAAGAAGAGGAATCTAATACCAATAATAATATACAACAGCAGCCATCATCTGAAATGAAAATCGTTGATGCGAAAACTCAACAAATTGGTGGTGGTGGTGGTGGTGATTCGCAAACGAATGTCAAATCGAATGACGAAAAATCGACAACTGTCACAAATAATTCTACAAGTGAATCGGCTGCAAATAATGAACAAAACAATAAGATTAGCAGCAACAATAAATCTGGTACCAGTGATGCAACAGCAGCTGCTAATAAAGAAAATCAACAGCAACCAGCACCACCATCATCCGCCAAAAAGAATAAATGCGATCTAAGCAAACTTCCTATACGACAATATATGGATGCAACCGTTGTACCATCATTATTGAGTGGCCTATCATTATTGGCTAAAGAACGACCACCAAAACCATTGGAATTTTTGGCAAAATTTTTATTGCAAAAATCTAAAGAACAGGAACAAGAACAGTGAATAAGAAGCAAATCATTCGTTACCACCACTATATATTTTATTATCCATTCTTTTTCACCCACACACACACACACATACATTTGGCCATAAACTACCTAACACATACACAGTATCATCATTTAATTAATACTGTTTTTAAATTTTCATCTGAAGAAAGATAGTCTCTTTCGCCATTAATTTTTTCCGTTTTTTTTAATTTGTTTAAAAAAATTATCATTACACATCGTTCTATTGGATCGAATTTCAAGACACAAAACACTTCATTTATTCTGATTGATTTTCATATAAATGAATAAATAATGGTAAAAAATAAAAACCAAATTGCACGTATGTTTTGATGTTTGTTCGGTTGTTTGAAACATTTTGCCATAACAACCTACCTAGCCTTAGCCTGTAGATTTACCTGGATGATAAGTGTGTGTGTGTATTGTGCGTTGTGCTATGATAATTTAGTAGTGGTTCATTTCGATGTTCATAGTATTGAGCAGGTATCCATTCATGCATTGGATGCTACACGAATTCGTTTGAATTGTTTTCATGGGTTTTGACTACTGTCCAATACAACACTTGCAGGTAAATTCCGTTGCATTCCAATCGTTCTAGTATATGGTATATTTGTTTCCACTACCAACAAAAAACGAGGGATTGTTGTGATTGTAAAAAATGTTCACAATGTTTACCACAATCCCGGTATTGATCATCTTGGCTTGGTTTGATTCATTTTCACTAATCAATGCACAACGTAATCCAACGATATCATTCATTAGTAAAGATAAAGTGGTCAATATTGGTGATAATCTCGAATTGAAATGTCAGGCACAAGATGCTGAAAGTTATCCGGTTGCCTGGACAAAGCTAAGTCCATCGGCTGATCAAGAACAAGTATTCATATCGAAAGGACAATCGATAATAATACCAAGTAATCGTCATCAAATCCTGTATGATGATCGGGATTCAACATATACATTATTAATTGAAAAAATTCAAGAAATTGATGTCGGTATTTATCGTTGTGAAATAACAACAGCAGTGAATACGAAAATATGGGCCGATGTACCGGTTATTGTACGTATACCACCGGTTATAGCAGATAATTCCACCCGGTCGGTTATAACGGCTGTTGGTGAACGTGTTACATTAAAATGTTATGCATCCGGTTACCCAACACCAATGATTAGTTGGCGACGGGAAAAAAATCGTCTTCTACCGAATCAGATGGCTTTCTACAAGGGCAATAATCTTACCATTGATCATGTGACTAAAGATGATCGTGGAACATATTATTGTGTTGCAGATAACGGTGTTGGACAAGGGGCACGTCGTAATATTGGTGTCGAAGTAGAATTTCCACCGTTCGTACGAGCTGGACGATCATTAGTGAAACAAGCTTTACAATATGATGCCGATCTACATTGTCACATTGAAGCATTTCCATCGCCATCGATTCAATGGTATAAAGATGGTCAAGTCATTAATGATAATCAACATTATCAGATCAATACTTTTGTACGTACCGATGAATTCATCGATACAACATTACGTGTACGAAGGATTGAAAAACGTCTATTCGGTATTTATGTATGTCAGGCGAATAATAAATTGGGTACAAATCAAACGATGATAGAATTATCAGAATCGGTCAACATTGTTTGTCCACCGGCTTGTGATGTTGGTTTCTATATAAGTGGCGCCGCCTCATATCATCATCAATTTTTATCATCATCGATCATTATCTTTATTAGTGTGTCCATTGTTTGGAGATAAAGCAAGGAAATTTTCGATTCCTAATCCATGTGCAATGTGTTGAATGAGAATGCCAAAAAAAAAAAAAAAAAAAAAATCTAAAAACACAGAACTGCCCTGATGATTGAAAATTTTTAAATGGTTGACTTTTTTAAGAATGGAATTGAATTGAATTTTATTATTATTTTCATTTTTCATAGAAATATTAATTAACATGTGTTTTTTATATGAAAATTATATATTTAATTAATATATAATATATGTACACACTCACTGATCTGATGATTATTAATAAAAAAGAATAATTTTCTGTCATTGAATCGACGACGACGATGATGATGATGGTTGTGATGAATCCAAATGTTCAATATGACCAGTATTTGGTTCAATTGTTAAACGTATTCGTTTTGTTGTATAGACATTGCTATCATAATCATAATGATGATAATTATGATTATTCAATGTTGGTGATGATGATGATTTAACATTGGAAATGTTCAACATTCGATCATGACCATAATTACTACTACCGGTATATTGTTGTGGTTGTGTATGTTTATTTGATTGAATTTGTGTATTCGATGTCGAACCATTATTATTCAATGATGATATCAGACATGAACGATCATCACAAAAGAATTGCATACATGATGGCGAATTATTTACAGCAACTGGTGACAATGATTTCACTGTAGTAGTGGATGTATTCGGTATCGATTCGGTGGTCTTGATATTCGTGATTGCATTTGATTCATGATTTTTATCAGGATCATCATTATTAATCGATTTTGTTGTCGTCTTATTCTTAATAAATGTCGGTATAACAGCGGCCATTATTCTTGCTACATCCGTTTGTACATCATTTGAAAATAATCTTTTATATTGTCTTCGTTGTTGTACAATACAATCGGTCGAACAACTTGCTAATGTCGAATCATCATTAGCATTAGCATTAGCATTGCCATTATTATTCAATGATGGTGTAAATGCACAACGTGGTAATGGCGACGACCATTCATCATTTGCATCACGTACCGATTGTATTAGTGAACGTAATTCATCATGTGCCATTTTGGTGAGCCATTCATAATACGGTAGTTCATTTCGTAATCTTTGTATCCATAGCCATATATTTGGATAGCTACTCAAATCAAATTCAACAGATATTTCCAATAATGTAACATTAGCCAATATCGATATATCAGCGATTGTCAAATGTTCACAGGCAACATAATTTTTATTGATCAAGAATATTTCCAATAATGTTAGCGCATTCGTTACGGCAATCAATTTCTCTCCACGCGATGAACTATATTCACTGGGAAACTGTGATTGATATCGAAAATTAGAAAAGCAAATCATCCATCCATTCCCTTACCATAAATTCATAATGTACAGCCATAACAGCATGGCTAAGTGTTTTAAGATCAAAATTTAATAATCGATCTACGGTTGCACGTTTAGCTGCATCACGTGGATATAGATTTGAATCTGGTGCATATTCATTACAAAGATATTGCATAATGGCACGTGATTCCCACAGGATATAACCATCATCATCGATTACGGGTAATGTATGGCATGGATTTATCTATTTACAAAACACAGACAAAAATTCAGCTCAGAGAAAGATTCATAATAATGATAGATGAGCAAATCAAACATACCTTTCGAAATTTTTCCGTACGTGTATCGATATAACAACGCAAGGCAATTTCATTGACTGGAACATTCAAATGTGTTGCCACCATTTTCACAGCACGACACGCTGGTGCCGTTCGTGAAGTATAGAATGTTATCGGTTTTCGTGGGCCTTTAGATGTTGAATTTGTCGTTGAAAAAGTCGTCATTGTCGTCGTATTATTATTGTTGTTGTTGTTGGTGGTGGTGGTGGACATTTTTCCCGATTAATTATTTTGATCAATTTGTTGTACACACATACAAACAATAACACATCGATCATATGTGTTATAAATAAGATGGAAATTTTTTAAAAATTATTTGTAAATATTGTGGATTTTATCATCAAACAACAACATCTGAAAACAAACAAAAAAAGAAAAAAGAGTTCCTATGAAAACTTGTAGGCTTTTGTTCTATTTTTGAACCATAAAGAACATTTAGGATTTAGGATTTTTTTTGCCTATTGATGATCGACGTTTTTCTTTGGAAGATGTATGCTATGTGGTGGTTTATGATCGATGGTGATGATGATGATGTGTGTGCGGATAGTCGCTCGAAATGATGATGATGATGATGATGATCGAAGCGACAAATAGAAAATAAAAAAAAATTAGGAAAAAATCAAATTGAATGCCATACTACTCACAGTTACTGAATTATTATTATGAGCTTTTTTGCTTATCATCAACATATCAATGAAAAGATTAACTGTTATCATATCTTTAGCCATTTTTTTGAATTTCAGATATTATCATCTTTATCATTGTTTCATATCATCGGCAATAACAACAACAATTCACCCATGACAACTACCAACCAACCAACCAACCAATAAAGAAGAAACTATTCAATTTCATTAATGTTGAATATGATGATCAAATCATAATAAAGCCACCACAATATTATTATCGCCATTAATGATCATCATTATCATCAATATTTGTAACAATACGCAATAATCAACCGATCACTCAACCAGCTATCTAGCGACCGTCAAAAAAAATCTTGATTATTGATGATGATTTGATTTTGACAACCACTCACCATCATCATCATTAAATTAGAATTCATTCAAATCAATCAATTATAGAATGATTGTCATTTTTTGAGGATGGATGAAATAATTTGATTCAATCAATGGTTGATAATCTATTCGTTCAGGTTGCACAATTAGTTATTGATGATGATGATCAAGGATAAAACTCAGCTCTTTACCCAATGATCGGTATCTACCGTTTTCATTTTTCTTTTTTCTTGCTTTTTACTATATAGAAAAAAAATAAAAAAGTTGGAATGTCAATGTAAAATGAAAAAATTAAAAATTAGACAACACAAAAATCTTATCTTTATTTCTTCATCAACAGACACATCATGTGATGTAATGTGTGTGTGTGTGTGTGTTGTACATGCAAGTAAAATGCAATGGGATTGTTGAAAAGTGGCGTTTTCAATATACTTTTCCAATGAAAATGCAATGATAATCGGGATGATGATGATTGCTATTGTAATATATTAACAACAACAACAACAACAAATGTACATTATTTTGCTTTCCCTTCATCATAGATATTGGCACATAAATTTATTGCCATCATCTCATCAAGGGATTGAGAAAAAATTCTTCTTCCTTTCAATTCATTTGAATCGTGGATTTTATTTTAATTTTATTGCATATGCATTGAAAAAACCTAGAAGGGTATCAGCCAAGATAGTTGATACAATGTTAAACAATTGATTGAATATATGGATAAAACCAGCCAAAACCAGTCATTGTCATTGATATGAAATTCTAATTTTAAACTCGATTCAATACCACTAGATGTCGCAATGAATTTTCTAGAATAATCGACATGTGATTCTTTTTGATGCTGATTGATTTGTTTGCTTTGTTTTGAAAATTTAAATTTTCCATCATCAATAATGATTCAGCTCAATCAAGACAAAGTGAAGGAAGAGCCAGTGGATCATGAAGAAGAAGAGCCAATCATTAACAACGATATTATCGTTGCTTCGGTAAATTTGTTTTACTTTTGTTTGATGTTTGAAAATGATGATTGATGGTTTCATGTTTGTTATATTATAAATAGTATAATATTGTTCGATTGGATCCGAGTAATAAGATCAAAACATTTGCATTGGCCGGACTAAGTAATGTGATTGGCAAGGATAAACATCGATCATCGAGCAACATTTCTCCCTCTTGTAACATAAGCATTCGAACCGATTCCAAAGAGCTCAAAATCACACCCAAATCACAACAGAATCAGCGTTCATCTTCAATGAACATTTTTACAACCAAAGAATCTCAGCTTAATCTGCGTCGTATATCGTTTGCTGTGAAATTTTCCAGAGAAACAGGAAAAGCCTATTTCCTACCGATTAATTCGATGCATACATTGAGTCATTTGGATGAAAAAAATCGTGATAGTAACTCTGTTGATTCACAGAATTTAATTTTCCAGGATTGTTTCAAAATACCACATCCAACACGTAATAAACATGATCAGTTACGTATCGAAATGAAAAGTCATCTATACAAACCTTTAACTCGAATGAATGATCCAGAAATGGTGAGAAAATTTTTCGAACAATTATTCACATCGATGTCGGCAAGACGATATAATTCGAATGTCAATGATAATGGTGGCCAACAACAACAATCTTCGCGAATGTTATCAACAACAATCAAAACTAATACTAATCGTGCACAAAGCTCCGTAATGGAATTGATCAATTGTCCATATTGGTTTCTGAGTAAAATCAATATTTGTGATATAAATCGTATCGAATTGGTTGAACTGAAAGTGGAAATACTATTGCGTAAAGTACAGGTAATACGTTTCGCTGAAATGATCATGTTATTCCATTCGAATAGTTTGGATCATCATTCCAAATTATTGAATACATTACAAAGTATCTGCTATTTGATCAATGGCAATTGGGTCATCAAAAGTCATCTTCTATATAAATATGATACCATTCATGATGGTGATTCGCGACAATTGTTAATGAAACGAATGATTGCTGCTCGTGAATATTTATTATGGCATTTTGCCCATCAAAAACCATTGAAAATGATCGATATAATTGATAAATTCAAGGTTAGCAGTGTGTTTTTGACTAGTGATTATTAATAATGTCAATGTATGCTTCTTTCATTAGAAAATTGCCGACTATGAACAAATATTGAATAGATTGACCATACGTAATGGATCTATGGTCGAAATTAATTTTATACTTGAACCAGATTCATCTTTTATTACAACGTAAGTTCATTTTCAAAATGAATAAATGTTTTTTTGACACAATCAATAATCTATTCATGACACAATCACAGATATCCAATGATTTCGAAAAAACATCATGATCGTAGCCGTGATCAATTGGCCAACAAACTTAATGAACACATGGCCATTTTGAATTCATGATCAAAGTAATAATAATAATATTTTTTCAACAAAAAAATTTCTAAATTCATTTTAAATTAAGTTAAATTAAATTTATGGATTGTATGTATATACAAGTTATCCAATTCTACAATTGAATACATAATTGGATGAAAGAATTAAATTAAATAAAGAAAAGTCAATACATATAATAATAAGTCTGGAAAAAAATCACAAGTATTTGGGGCTTCATTGAAATTGAAATGAAGACGACCAAAGAGAGAGACATTTCAGAGTAAAAGGCACATGTTGTATTCATAGCCATTATAATAATTTCATCATTATCGATGATAATGTCATCATCATCATCATTATCATTATCATTATATGGCAGCCAATAGAAAGCTCAATCTTTTTTGAAGATGACGAAAAAGGATCGTAACCGGACGATACTGATGATGATTGACCACGTAATGAATGTGGATTGGATTGAATTTGTTTCGGTATAAATGGTATTTGTTGCCGTTCATTTTGTTGTTTATGGTCAACAACACCACCACCACCACCACGATCCGGTTCACCAATTATTGTTAATCGACCATTATTGAATGTACGACTATGGTTATATATTCGGCCATTATTGTTGTTGTTGTTGTTGAAAACTGGATATATGATGAAAAAATGAATCGAAAAGGATTAGATTAAAGAAAATAGAGGAAAAAAGTCAAGATGTCATCAATATTGGTGATTGGTACATGCATATAATCCATTGAATTCAATCATCATCATCATCATCATTATCATCATTTAGTGGGGTGGGCAAAGCATGCAGATTATGTATATGTGTATCATTATATCATTTGGTTCGACTTTGTAGCTGTTGATGATATGTTGTGGTTGATGATAATGATGATGAAAATGATTTTGGTGTTTGAATTGAATACGACCAGCTATTTGTTGCAAAATGATCTTTTCAATTGATTGACGTGTATCGAATAGGAAGAAGACGAGAAAAAAGGTATTGGATACAAATGATAATAGCCAAATTAGATTTTTTTCAAAAAATCAACAACAAGACAAACAATAAGAGATTAACAAAAAAGAAAGTTCAGACTTGATACATTAAATGATGAAACATGGGTTAATATGTGTTTATAATGAAGCCATTGTTGTTATAGGGGTTTGTATTTGTCAATAATAAAGTTAAGAAATCAAGGAAATGGAAAAGATGGATTTGTTACTTACATGTAAATCTATTTATTGGTCCACCACTACCATTATTATTGATCATACGATTTGCATAACGTGATGGTGATGGATGCATATCGATTTGATTATTAGCAAAGTCATTGATAACTGTCTTTTTATCATTCAATAATAATTGTGGCTTTGAACGTTTTGGATAATATGATTTTCCAAATGGAAATTCACGTGTACCGTGCATTATTAATTTCCAACCATGTAACAATGTATTATCTAAAATTATAGATTAGGAAATTATGATTAGAATGAAAATCAATCAATATGCACATACTATGTCTTCCTGTACTATTAATGTATAATGTCCATTGACCATTTGGTGATTCTCCCCAAAAATGTACGGTCATAAATGGCCAATTAGAGAAACCGAGTACGGAATTATCTTTCGGTCGTTTCGTTAATAAAGTTGATCGTGTACCAGCAGGTGAACGTATTTCGATTTCAATATCACCACGCTTTGGTGTGGTTAGATTAACAACAACTTGTACATGTTCCATATACATTAATTCATTGCAGGTTACCTATTTTATCAAAATGATGGAAACAAGGAAAATGATAATAATGATATGATATATGATAATGAAACCACAAACTTACATTCAAGGCATATGATAATGTGTTTCTGGATCAGAAAAAAACAACAAAGAAAAAAATTAATTGAGCAATGAAATTAACCAACCAATCATTATCGAATAAACAATGTCAATGTGGTGTGTAGAGAGAAGGGAAATCGTGAATCAAAAAAGGGGAGAAAAAAGAACACACAGGAAACACGAGCACAAAATAATAACAACAATTAACAGTTAACTTGATAATTGAAGCCAAACAAAACAAAATTAAACATCTGGAATCAAGGAAATGCTTTTATGTGTTGACTTTTGTCAGAGGAAAAAAAGAAAACTTCAAACATTCTAATCCAGACTATATGTGCGTGTGTGTCTTCATCATTGACATTATGATGATGGACTTACTTGGCTTTGGATAATTCATTTACTTTCCCTTTGAATATACATTTTGTTTGTTCCGGTACTGGAACCCATTCACGGGCATAATCAACCATAGCACTTGCATTGATCAGACCGTAACCAAACCAATGGCTAACATTCAATCCAACACCATTTTCCATCCAATTTCCTTCTAAATTTTTACGTTTTGCAGATAACACTACGATATGTTGCATATCACGCCATGTTAGATTATTGCTAGAGAGAAAAAATTTAATTTCAATTTCAATAATAATAATTGCAAAGAAAAAATAAACATTCATACTTTGCCTCTAATGCAAGAGCACAAATTCCAGCTGCTAGTGGTGCCGATGCTGATGTTCCCGTATGTGATGATGTACAACCATGATGAAGATCGGTTGTCACAATTTGTCGTTCACCGAATGATCCACTACTATATGTACTGGCCAATGTTGCTGAACATGCTTCTGAATACCATGGTATTGATCCTTTTTCCGTTGCCGAACTAATCGATAATGTCCATATAGAATTTGTATAGCCATCACAATTACAATTATCTTTTTCACGACCACCATTTCCGGATGCCCAAACGAAAATCGATCCTTTTCCATTACGGCCATTACGGATACCATTTTCAAATGCTTTTACGGCCATTTTTCCAGGGCCATCGACCGTACGACCATCATCATCCGGTCCCCAGGATGCCGAATAGATGTGTATATGTTGTGGATTATAGCCCAATGATCGTGCTTCAACAGCATCGGTAACATCACCATCTAACATTCGAATACCACCAACTTTGGCATCGAATGCAACACCTACTGCACATACACTGTTATTAGCATTGGCTGCCACTTCTCCAGCACAACGAGTTCCATGACGATTTGAATCGATGATATCATAACGTGGCATTGGATCATTATCGAATCCATTGACATCATAACTTGCATCTGGATCATAATTCGTTACTAAATCGGGATGATCTTTTTCAAGGCCATCATCTAAAATGGTAACGACAACACCTTTACCGGTGATATTTTTCTCCCATGCTTCAACCACGTCCATATCAAGATTATTGCCACGATTCAGATACCACATTCGTGGCCATTGTGGATCATCAAATCGAACACGTTTACCACCTTGAACAAATTCATTATGATCAAATGGAAATGGTAAAAGCGGTAAATTATTTTCACATGGAGGTTGTGCTGGTAGTGGTGGCCTCATATAATAAGGTACCACATCTAAACGATGTGAATTCGATACTGAATGTGCTGTGTTCAGGTTTAGATGTGTATTCGATATGAAATCTCTTTTCGTACGATGATTGAGTGGTTGCTGTTCGATCGATAATACCGATGGATGGTGATGAAATGATGATGTTGGCTCATGATTATTATTGTCACTTGGATATAATTCAGCCGATCTTTTTGCTACTTTTCGATGCATTAAATGATAATAATCATCGATTATCTATTCATTACAATGAAAGAAATAAAGACAGAAGAATTAATATTAATATTAATATATGGATTAATGTCATAACAATGTCAATAAAGTCAAATGATTGAGCCATAGTATAATAATGGATTAGTTTGTGTCATGGTCATCAAGAATATTCATTATCTATCGATAAATATAAATGAATTATGACGGAAATATCAGGCATTTTTTCGTGATAAGGACTATTTTTAATCACAAGATCAATTACCTAATCACATGATCTTATCATCTAGACTCTAGTTTTTCCTTTCCATTGAATGATGAATGTGACAGCAACAAAGATTGCTTTGTTTAGTATGGGAAAATTCCATAAATGCTCTTCTTGGTAACAAATAAATTGATTTTGACAAATATATGCAACAACACAACGACAACAAATCATCGTGTGATCGATAAAAAAAGGAAAAAAATCCACAAAAAAGTCATGAATGAAAATGAACGGGCTAAATCAACGTGTAAGGAAAAAATAATAATTTTCATACCTGTCAAACATCATCATCATCAGGTGGTAATAAAAACAGAAATTGTTCGATTATATCAATCAATCGATGTTTGTGTGTGTGAATCGAACCATAACCGAATTAAGTATTTTCCTACATATTGGCTGTGAAATTTATTCTAAAATAGCTCCCCCTTTTTCGTCGAAATTATCGATCGATCGATTTAGCATTTTCGTTTTGGAAAAAAATCAGAACAAACTGGAAAAACAAATCTTATTTTGTAAAAAAAATTTGAAACTGATTGACAGTGGGTTTCGTGTTTCATGTGGCTATTATTAGCAAACAAAATCATCATCATCATCGCTGCTATTGATAAAGTGGTTTAGAATGGCAGCCAATTTCAATCATTTTCACGTTCCATTTTCACCCTTTATTTTCCGTTCAAAATTAATTTCCATTTGTTCCATATCATTAACATGACACAGAGGGAGAGAGAGAAAAAAAGTTTGATTTTTCATGTTATTAATGGATCAAAGATTGGACGAAAAAAAATCAATCAAGTCAAATTTTCAAAATAGAATTCTTTTTATTATTATTTTATTAAATAGTAAATATCTATTGTAATTGTAATTGTTTTTTGACAAAAACAAACGTTGATTTCACATGAATATTCTATTTATAGATATAGATAGACAAAAAAAGGATTTGGCCAAGAATTTCTACGGAATTTTCATACCCTTGTGATTTAAAAACATCTTATGATTGGTAAACACTCAAATATTTTTTTTTATTCATTTCACTTGATAAGTTTTGTTTTGTCGATTTTCTTGGCAAATTGTCAAAAAAAAACTAGAAAAACAAAACATCCAAAGAATCAGATGATTTTGAAAGACAAAATTTTATTTTTTAAAAAGAGAAAAATTCTATAAATAACCACATTGTGAGACAAACAAGGTCATCAGAGAGCAAGTAAATAGCGGAATCTCAGAGACAATTACAGATTGAGAAGAAAGCCGATTATCGATCATTAGCCATTGTTAATCGAATGCTAAAATCTAGCCAGATGATAATGAATTTAAATAAATCATCAACAACTGGATTTATCTCATTTCTTAGAAAAGAAACAAACAAATTCAAATAGGTAATCCAGGTGGTGTGTAATGTGTTTGCACATATTATATTTTTATTGCAGCTTGCACATGACGAAATGAATCGTTACAATCGTCTTTTTTCACTTCAATAGCATAATTTATAATTTCAAAAACTTGAATTATCGATGATGATGATGATGATGTGCATGTGTACGTACGTCTTTGTTGCCTAAGAATGATTCAATACGATGTGTGTTTCTGATTATTATTTCATTCATTCATACAAAAATACGCAACATGTAATACGTAGAGTGGCCACCATATGGCAAATGTGTTTGTTGTAATCAATCAGTCAATCAACAAACAAGAATCGGAAGTATAGCAATCATTGAAATGAGTTTTTATTAGTCATAAAAGTCATCAACCAATGATGACGACAAACAGAAATTGCAATCAATAAAATCAACGTTTTTTTATGAATCAAAACAAAAGAAAACAATGCAAAAAATTGATTGGTTTTCAGAGAAATCAAGAATTGAAAAAATGGTCAAAATGAGGAAACACACACACACACACACACACTTTATTCATTTCTCACTTGCTCTCACATTCACTGTTTGAGTGATTAAATAGTAACCTAGATTCAAGATATATCTGACCATCCCATCCATCTATCCATATGGAGGGCATCGATCAAAGTTAATATTTTTTCTCCATTTCTCTTCATTTTGAAATGGAAAAAACAAATCCGGACAATCCTGTGTGTGTGTTTTTGACCTCCGTGTATGTAATAATAATTGAAAAGCATCACCATCATTCATGGCCAGATATAATCAGATATCATTAAATATTTTTCATTAAAAATCAATCCAATTAAATTTAATTGGATTAATTTAAGGAAATCCGTTTCATCATCATCATTTTGGATAAAAACCAAGAAAAAAAATAAAGACGACAAAAATAGAGAAAGAAACTTACATGTCCTAGATAGGTAAAATCATGATCATTGGCCAATTGCCTAGCAAATTCATCACCACCATGAATTCGTACAACAAATTGATCACTAAATAATCGTTTTGAACGGTGATGATGATTGTTTTGATGTAACAATGATGGATCATGATCATATCGTTCATTAATATCATCTAATAATGTTGATTGAGATCGTTGATTTGGTGAATTGGGCAGATTATTAATATTTACATTGCTATTATTATGATGAATTGAAAGACAATGACAATACAATATTCTATAATGTACAAAGGCACAAATCATTATCAATGATATTAATATTGAAAGCCATCCACCATTATTATTATTTTTGATTCCAATTATTCTATTGATTCGATTCGAATAACCGAATATTAGATGGTGTTTATAGCTTTTCTTGCTGCTACTGTTGTTGTTGTTGTTGTTGCTGCTGCTGTTGTTAGTGGTAGTGATGGGCATGATAATAATTTCCAATGAATTTGAATGTGAATTTATTAGATAATCATCATCACAAGATTTATAATTATCATTTTGTTGTTGAAACTTTGATGTTGATGAATTGAATAACGTCCACATTTTTAAAGAAATTATTTAGATGGTTAAATTAAAACCAAAAGTGTGTCATAACATTTGTTTGTTGTTGAAAATCAAATGATCAGTTATCGATATCGATAATAAATTATTAAAGTTTTTTGAATAAAGATGATGATTTGATAATAAAAAATGATCAATTTTTTGAACGAAATTTCTCTTCTTCCTCGTCATCAACATTGCCATTGTAATTTATAATGTATCATTATACTGATTATATGGTTGTTTGGGAATCAATCAGGTCTCTAATATTGTAAATGATGTCAAATGTTATAAATTTAATGATTGGTAATCTATATAATCTTTATTTTTACAGATAAAAACCTGGTAACAATGGCACGTCAAGTATCTGGGATGATTTTCAATGAAAAACTCAAATATAAAAAAACATACACAAAGATACTTCACACAAAATTAACAATGAAGAGGATGGAAAACACTTTTTTTGCTGCTCGAAATCATCAAATGAGGAAAAATCTTCAAAGAATCACATTGAATCTAAGAACTTTACACACAGTGTGAATCTTGTTCAAAAATTCGTCTGTATCAAATATACCATGGATTGTTGTTGTTGTTCACACGTCACATATACATTCATGAAGAATTCTTCTTTATCAACAACAACCCTTCTTCAACGAGCAAATACAAAGACAAAGCGCCAAATCGAATAAATGAAAATAAAAATTATTAGATTAGATTTTGTCGACGATGAATGATTTTTTTCTTTTTTGTTTTTTGTTTTTTAGCAGTGCTCAGGTCAACACAACAAAAACAACATTAATAAAACAGACATATCGTCGTCGACGACGACGAAAGGCAAAACAAACTCTCGTTAACAGAAAAACAAGAAAAATAAACTTCAAAATTGAGCTCTGCCAATTCAATGCATGAATTCGAACACTAAGGTGGTGGGGGGAGAAAAAATCTTGTTATTTTGGCCTAGCTAGCGAGGAAAGAGAGAGGATATATATCTGGACAGACAGCCATGAACGGGAAGCATAGACAAAATAAACAAGAAATGTTTTTGTGTGGGTGGGATACAAATAAACTATGGCTATATATATATAGACCACTACCAAAAGAATAAATTTCTTTTCTGAATTTATTAGCAGTATTGAAATGTGAATGAATTTTTGGTTGTGGTGAATTATAGTTGTACTAGTAGTGAAAAACTTGTTTTTTGATCATCAGAATTTGAAATTTGATCAATTTGTGATCCATGCATCAATGTATGGATGGATGGCCTTTTTTTCTAATTCTACTTTGTGTGATGGCACCACGTGTTTGATTTTTTTTCTTTTTTGCCTCAATTTAAAATCCAGCTGTAAATCATCAAATTTTTTAAAATCCAATTTACAGCCGGATAGAATTATAATTATTAAATTTAATAAGAAGATGATTATCGCGATGATAAAAGTCCATCTGTCTTGGAATGATTGAGGCAATTAATTGATAATTTATATTGAAATGATGATTCGATATAAGGTACACCAATGTCCGTGTATTTGGAAACTCTTTCTTTTTCTTTATCCGAGATGTCGTCATTTTTTAAAATAAATATTTCAAAACCATCATCATCCATTATGGTGATGATCATTATGGGTGTTATTGCGACAAGAAAAGATTGCCCCTTTGTTATTGTTGCTAAATTCAAAAGAAATTTTCATCATTTAAATGGAAAAAGGAAGATGTCATACGTTTTACATTTTTTCTCTAATGTTACAGGATCAGGTTTTGTTTGAACATTGGATAAATTTAAATCTTTTTAATCTTGCAAAACTTTTGAGTTTTTTTTATGCTTACGCCTGCATTATTATCGATTAGATTGGCTTTTTTCTTTGGGAGAAAAAAATTCATATGTTTAGCAATCATCATTATTGTGTTTATATCTTGTTTGGAGATTGAATTTTAAATGTTTTTTTCATAAAAATTTCAAAAGATCTTTTTTTCAGGTCCTATCGTTTATGAATGGTGTCCAAGAAAAATAATAATAAGGCCAAATGTTTTGATGATGAGTATTTATTTTTCTTTCAATTCAAAATTGAATTCATTGTTTGGAAAAAATTCAATTAATTTCTCTCATCAATAGAACATACAACATTCAATACAGAATGGATGCAGTTACAATGGCTAATGCGTCACAGACGATCATCAAATCGAATATCGATGATGACAATGAACCGAATCTTTCATTATTCTATCTAGTCACTTCGGCAAGTCTATTCAGTGCATTCATACCAGTTATAGTTTCGTTGGTAAGTCGATTTTCTCTGAAAAAACTAATTTTTCATTTCAATGTCACACTTACTACAGTTATTAAACCTACTCACGTGGGATAGTCAAATGGAACAATCATTAAAACGACAAGTGTCCGATCTGAAAGAAGAACTTGGTTCAATAAATATGACCGATGAATTTGCCAAATATTCAAAGATACAACGAAAATTGATCAAAATAACCGATGAATTGAAAAATAAAAGCAAGTAATGATCGACATAACCGTGTGTTCTAATTCGTTTGAATTTGATTTGATTAAATAGATAATCGGCAATTCATTTATCAGACCAAAACCCGAATGATATTGTACGCTGTTTCGTATGGAATATCAGCAATAGCATTTTTCACCATTCATTGGACATTTAGTGGACAACCAGTAATCATTTTCAATGGCAATCAATCCAATGATCTGTTTTATCCATTGGGTCCTTTATTATCATTTCCAACCGGACAATCAAGTATTTCTTGCATATTCTCTACCCGTATGAGTCCTAATAATGTATGTTTCTTTCAGATTGTTTAAGCATAACGGCATGGTTTTTCATATCCGGTTTCGTTTTTCGAATGTTGGCCCGAGGATTGTTTTGATTTATTCTTTTCGATTCATTGATTTTTTGTGGCGCCATTGTCATTTATGATTTTATACGATAGATGGCAGCAAAGTCTCGGGGTTTGATTTTTTTTTGAAATGTGATAAATCGATTGATAATCTACTAGTAATCTATTATTATGTAAATAAATACAGTGAACATGTCACCAAATTTTAACCATCTTATCAAAAATCGATGGCAGTAATATTAAAGTCGTTAGCCTTTGTTTTTGAATAGCTTGATAGTCAATTCAATTGTTGTATGTATTTGGTAATCTTTTTATTCGTCGTTGTTCGACTGATGATCATAATAGAATGGGCCATACCTATAGGTAATTACTACGGATTTTCATTCATACCGATATAACCAACCTCGCTCAGCAAGACCATTATGTTATACAATCATCATTTGAATGACCTTCAATAACAACGAAAAACTCTACTTTATGTCTGTCGTCTATAAATAAGGAAAAAATCATATCATCATCGAATTCTGACAACTTTATTTAGGGTAATTTCTTTTGGTTGTATGGATATTTTTTTTGCGCGCCAAAAAAACGAAACGAAATGAATAGCCAAATTAAATAGGTTTTTTCTGCTGTTGTTAAATCGAGCAATGCAGGAAAATGATGATGATGATGATGACCATCTGTGGGCAAGTCGACGTCGTCGTCTTGCATTGCGACGAAATGGCCGATTTTTTTGACCATGATCGTCTGGCTTTATTGGTAATTTACACCGTGTTTCTCTTGCATTTTCAACTATCGAATCATTTGGAAATGAAAACATTTCTTTGGTTGCTTGGCTTGTTTGTTTGATGGCCAACAATCACGCAAAACTAAATTACTGAAAACAACAAAATGGAAAATCACATATCACAGCAGCAGTCCAATTTAAGGTACGTCCACGAAGGAAAAAAATCATCAGTTTTCAGTTGTTGGTGATCCATATTTATAATAATGTTTTGAACGTCTTAATTTTGAAATTTTTCTCCAGAATTAAATTATCATTGAACGAAAAGAAAAAAGAAATTAATTCTCGTATTAAAGATTAGAAAAAATCCGATTTTGTTTGATCAATAATCGATAATAAAAAAAAAGTCAATTTCTTGTATAAAAACTTTGAAAAAAATCGATCAACCTAAAAACTAGGCCGATTGATTCGAAAACAACAACAACAACACCACCCATTTTTTGGGCTCCACCCTCTCAATCTATGTATATGTTCTCGTATTACACCACCACCACCACCACCACCATCATCATCCAGAAAATCATCAAACCGAGAAAAAAGAGAAGATAATAGAATGGTTGGTTGTTGGTTGTTGTTGAAGAGGACCTGTTTTCAGTTCAATTTTCTTCTTCTTCTTCGTCGTCGTCATCGTCATTTACCGAAAAAAGCCAGGCAGCAATAGTGATTTTTTCATGGTAAATGATTTTCTCTTTTCAAAATTTCTTACGAAAATCTTCACTCTTCGTTTTCGATCACTTTGGTTGTTTCCCGAACAGAGACCAGTGTGTTGATCAAGTAAAAATCAATATTCAATCTTCAATGTTGTTCAATTGTGTTTCAAACAATTTCTTTCTCTATGTGTCAAGAATCAAATCTCAAGTTGTTTGATGTCTTTATCAACATTTTTGTGAATTAAATTCGTTCAGTTCAACAATAATGTAACGAATTTCTCAATACAAAAAAAACAAATCTGATTGAATTGAAAGCCACAAAAACACAAAACAGTATACAGTATTCATCAAAATGTTGTTATCACCGGTTAATCATGGATTTCTATTTAAATCTTTTTCTATCAAATTTTTATTGCTCATTATTATCAATTTAACAACATCGTTAATGATGATTAAACCTATCGATGCAATTGTTTGTGAAAAAGCACGAATTGATTGTTCATTAAGGTAAGAATGGATTCTCTCACTCTGTGTGTGTGTGTGTGTGTTGGTGTGAGATTTCGATGAAAAAGTAAAAAAAATCAAAACTGTTCAGCCAAACGATTAAAATTTGGTAATTTGATGTTCATCATCATATAATCATCATAAAAGTGAAAAATTCAAACATCTTGTTTGTGTGTACATTAGCAAATCATAAAACAACAAAATAATCGGTCTAATCATCTGTGTGTGTGTGTGCGTATTTGTCAAATGTCAATAAACAAACCGAAAACATGTGACCTTCGTGAATGTCATTTCGATGGATGGATGGATTTCATCATCATTTATTTCAAGATATAGGATCTTTGTGTCATTTTTTGGATTTTTCATTTTTTTTTATTACCCGAGTATACATCATAACAACCAATTTTCGATACAATTTTTTTTCAGGTCACAAATGTGATGATCTCTGACCTCTCTCTCTTTCTCTCTCTGGTCGGCATTCATGTTTGTTTGTTCTTGATTTTTTTATTGTTGTTGTTGTTGTTGTTTCTGATTTCATGATGATGTTATTCTTCGTCAAGATTTTGTTTCTTCATTTCAATTGTTTGCATTGACAACATACAAGTACGAAACAGAGCGAATGGCAGGTTTTTTATTTATTTCAGGTCGTTTTGTTTGTACATGAGTGTGTGTGTTCAGATTCAAGAATTACAATAAAAAATCAAGACAAATTAAACATTCAAAGTTTTATTTTCGTCATGATTGTTGTTGTTGTTGTTTCACAAATTATCTATCTCATTGATTAATTGATTCTTTTTTTTATAAATAGAAATGGTTGTGGATTTGCATTACAGAATTATATGATGGAATGTACCGATCTGATTGCTGGTCGAACACAAACATGTGATCCACGTTGTGAACGTGCATTAATCGGCTTGATATCAACGGATGAAGGAAAAGAACTGATGAATTGTGATTGTGATGGCAATCCATATTGCGAAATGTCAAAATCACGTCTAGAAATTTGTCGAAAATCCGTATGGTCAGCCATTAGACAGGATACAATTGTATCCTGTTCGACAGCACGTTGGATTTGTATCAGTGATCAGCCATGCCGTACAGCATTGGAATATTATGAATTGAATTGTCATCAATTATTTCAAGGATATAAATGTGCATACCGTTGTAATAATAGTCTTTCCATTTTGGATCGTCAAGAAAAAGCAATGAAATTACGTACATGTTATTGTGATGGCAGCGAGAATTTTCCATGTCGACGTGTCAAATATTTCACTGAACGTCTCTGTTATGGTCGCCAACACAATCATCACAGTCATCATCAGCATTCATCAATGATTCCGATCGATTTGGATGATGATAATCACAATAAAATTGAATCAATTAACCATCATAAAATCATTGATAATCAGAAGAACAATAACGGTGGCTCGAATCATCGTAATTATCATCGTTATCGAATTGATTCAATCTTGGATCGAATACGTGGTGCTGTTGCTATCGAATCAAATCGATCATCGAAACCTCGACAAACTTTGATTCTATTACCATTATTGATGATGATAATGATCACAATCGCCAATTTATTTATAATCAGATAATTATCACACAAATCTTGGACCATTGTAAATACACCAACAACACTATCACAGATCCTTTTTTATTTATTCCACAAAAAACTATTATTTTTAATTGTAAATAAATCCAATAAAAATGAATAATAAAACTTGGCAATGAACTTTTACATTTTTTTCACGTTGACCTATGCTTTCTACTTGATTATCATAATCGTCTACACACCTGATGAATTTTCTGTCCTGTCATCATGAGATTCATTTTTCGGTCGTGTGCCATTCTTGTGGCCAAAAAAAGGTCTCACATTCAAGTAAGAAAAAAGAGTTTACACCTCGAAAAAAATGTCATGCCACAGGTTGTATCCTTGGATGTAAAATATTAATATATACAAATCTGCTGAAAAATAAACACACACAAAATAAATGGTTGTCGATTCGAGAGAAAGAGAAAAAACGACCACCGCGGTAGCTAGAATTTAATTTGATGCAAATCATTCGCATCATCATTTCTTTTAAAAAATCCATGGATCATTTGAATTTTCTAATTTTCCATTTCATTTGTATCTCTCGAAATGAATGCTAAAAAAGATGGATTTGAATTTAGTGAGAAAAAATTTCAAAATTTCAATTATTTCTACATTTTGGACTTGTACGACGATGATGAAATTAGAAAAAAAATTGAAACCAAATCGCAAAACATTGGAAACATTTTTGTAAAAAAAAACATTCTCATAGTCATCCATCGTTAATCGTATTTGAGAGATGATGACGATGATGATGTATATTATAGGCAGAGAGAGAGAGAGAGAGAGGTATTAGGTATTACGCAGTATTATATAAAATGAACTAACAACAAAAACACTGTGAAAAGATGGATATGATGGAAAGAAAGAATGAAAGGAAGAAAAAAAGAAAAAAAAAGAAAAATAGAAAAAAATCGGACCACACACAACGCGAATTGAATTATCATTCAAGTTTTTTCTGCTGTATCTGTTCTTGATGATGAAGAAAAAGTATATTTTTTCTAAAATGAACCAAAATGTTCAATCATCATCAGCATCATCATCCATGGATGGATGAAGAAATTCAATGGTTACCAATCGGATAATTGTGCCTGACTTGCTTGCTGGCTTTTTTTTTGCTAGTAAGCCTAAATGTTGTATGTTACAATGATGACCATAAATGAATTGAAAAAAAAACAATCAATGAATCAAGAATGAAATTGAACGCCCAAAACAAAAACTAAACCAGAAATGAGTTTCTCTGTTTTTTTGTGACTATTGTCCATTGTCTATTTTTGTTTGTTGTTTGTTACTTGTGTAGGCGCTTTTATCTGATATGATAAAGGCGGTGATAGTCCTGGTGGTCAAGATTATCAGATTCAATTCATTAATCAGGATTCGAAGCTCTTTTTATGAATCCTAAATCCTGATTAATTATCTCTCTCTTGGTCTCAAATTTCGAATTTTTTTGAAAAATTGAAAATTTTTATTTTCAAATTTGATTCCAAATGATCGTTACTGCTGCTGTGTCATATATACTAATTATACATGTAAACAGACAAAAAAATTTCATGTTATGTTTGTAAACATTTGAAGGAAAAAAAACAGAAAAGAATGAATGACCAAATGGATACAAATTTTGGCAAAGTCCATCGATGATGAATAAACAACCAAGGTTTACATTAAGATTTTTAAGAAAATGATTTCTCAAACAAAAGTCCAACAGAAATGTTTAAATTCTTGTGAAAAATGCAAAAACATTTTTTTATCCTCCATAAACCAAGAAAACTTGATGAATGAATGAATTTTCATTGAATCAAAAACATTTGTGAATGAACTGGAGTTAATCTTTGCAGGGATAAAAAATAACAAAACAACAACAACAACAACAACGATGCACTTGTTGTTGTTGTTGTTGTTTTGGTTTGCTTTGGTTTGCCATATGTTTTCCATCATCAATATTAATTGAATGAAAAGAAATTTTAGAAAAAAAAATTTCAAATCCTCATGTGGGAAAAATGAACATTTTCTCATTTTTTTCGAGAATCAATATCTCTAAACGCGACAGACAGACAGTGATGACTACTGTCTTGAGGAATTGAATTTTATTTTACTTTTTTTTGATGCTTGAATAATATCCAAATTGATTTTCATAAAGTTTCGCCGAATGCTAGCAAACAGTAATTTAGAGTGAATCAATTCGAAATGGATCGTAATTTATTTATATCTATCCATCTACCATCACAAGTTTGTTTTTTTTTCACTGCGAAATTTGCGATATAAAAAGTTAGACCACTAAAAACCTCGTTTGAATTTTTCTTTTTTTTTCATAGAAATTTTAATGGTTTCAAAAATGGAAATGTACCCAGCAAATGGACTAGCGCAAACGGCCAAAAGAAAACCGTTTCAGATTCCAAAGAAAAAGAGAAATGAAATGACAATAATTCACATACACAAGGAACAATGTTGTTGTCGTTTGTATTTATTCTCCCTCTGCTTTTGAGAAATATAACATTTGTTATTTCTCACAAGATCACATAACAACAGACAACGACAAAGACAAATTGTTTTGTATGTTTAAACACAACGAAACAACGGTTATTTCAAGTTCAACAAAAATCCAAACACAAAAAAAGAAAGAAAGAAAGAATGGGAGAGCATATAAAATGATTAAGACATCAATATGTTCATGTTATTTTGTCTCCCATACATTTGCATGACAAAGCTGTGTGATTCCTAGGTAGAAACAACACAACACAACATTACAAGTTCATTGTTGTTGTTATTGTTGTATTTTTTTTTTTAAATCAAATTTAAATCGATAATAATAATAATTCAACTTTTTGACAATTTCTCATTGTTATAGAGATTTGGATTTGAATTTAGAATTCAAATCAAATCAAATAGTGATTGACAACAATAAACATTGATTTTCTTTATTATTTGCAATATTGAATTTCAATCCTAAATGATCTGGTGATTATAGGTACCAAAATGAATCAACAACAACAGCAACAACAGCCAAATAAAAAGCATAAAACTCCATTCACTGCATTGATAAACATTGGTGGTGGTAAACAACAACCGAATAACATTATGGATGTATTACGTTATGCATTGCAAGAAAAGATTCAGTTGAAACGTTTACAATACAGTGTACCGGATATTGGCACGGTTGTTGAAGAATTAGAAATGAAAGTAATAAAAAAACCAGATGATAAAGTGCAAGCCACTCATAAAGTATCGATTAATGGACAATTAGTTCGGGTAATGGATGTTGTTGAAAATCGTATCATACAAAATGATCCACAGTATGAACCGTGGAAATTTTTGAAAATGAATATTAAAGCAATGTTTGACAAAATGTGTAAAGAGCAATCCAACAATAATAAAACATAAAACATGAATAATTTATTTATAATTTTCAAACAAAAACTTTTTTCCGATAAAATTCATCCATTGTTGATGATGATGCGAATTGGCGACTACGACGACGACGATTCTAGCAGCTGGATATCATTTCATCACAAGCAAGAAATAGCTGCTGAATCTCATCATCGTTATTATTATATGTCATAATTCATTATCATCGAATACAATCTTATTTTTAGCAAATCATTATCGAAAAATGCAAAATTTGTTTGTACTATTAGTGGGGGCAATGTTTTGTATATACATGTGTGTGTGTGTGTGTGTGTTTTACAGAATACCAATTCAATATTTTGAATATTCCAAAGTTTGAACATTTTTGAATATCGATATTTTTTTCTAAAATGAAAAATGATTTCTAACCACACAGACACAATACAATTCATTTCATTTCACGTCATTACAAATATGATGATGAAGACGGGCCATTATTATTCTGACAACCAAAAATTTATGACCATCAACGCCAATCGAAAATGAATGGACAATCATTTTTTTCTTATGTTTACATTGATTGGAAAATGGAAAATTCTTTTCTTCTATCTCTCGCAATTCATTCGGATGTGATTGAGGCTTGATTCATTGGTCATGTCAATTATAAATATTTTCGCTATTCATTCATTTCTGGGTCAAAAGTTTTTTTTATCGAATCGAATCTTGTGGACCTCAGGTTAAACCGATTATCCTTCTCATTAGCAAGTATAGTAAAAGTGTAATAATGAAAGTCGCATTTCGTAAAGGAAAATAAGAATTACAAGCTTTCACACCTCACAAACACACGTACATTTTTCCATTCATTCGGGTCAATCATCCAGAACTTTTTAAAAGTTCAAAAATTTCTCTCACTCTATGTTCACGTTAGGTTGTACAATCAAACGTTAATGGGACCTTAGGGACCATTCATTCATTCATGTTGGTGAATCATTTCAAACAAACCAAACAATGGCCATTTTCCAAATCAAACATTGACTAGCAATGAATTGCTTAACACTGACTAAATAGCTGAAAGACAGACCGGCAAGCTTTACGAAGCGATAAAAAATTCCTTCAAATATTTCATCATAAATCTACATTGTCATCATCGTCATCATCATCATTGTTGTCCTTGGTTCCGAAATGGAAAAAATCCGCTTAACGAAAAAGTCTTTGAATTGAATTGAATAATGAAGAATACTGTGATCTGAATACGTTCGTGCGACATCCACGAAAATGAATCAACAAAAAAAAAAGAAAAGAAAACAGTCGGCAAAAAGTCAAACGGGTTTTTTTCTTTGGAAAAAAACAGAAACAAACCAGGAATAAATTTTTTACTACAATGAAAAATTTTATAAAAATTTACAATATTTTTCTAAAAGAGATGATGAAGAGAGAGAGAAAGGATAGAAATATATCGCAATTACCGATAACAACACCGACCGATATCCGTGTGATTCAATTACCTGATAACCTTTCGAGGTTGAATTATTCATCATCATCATCAGTGTGGCTGGAAAAATGATGAATTGCATACGAAAAGAAAACACAAACATACAAATTTTTGATTATGATCAACAGTGTGTGCGTGTATATGTTTTTAGTTTGTCGCCAAAGCCATTTGAGATAAATCAAATATAAAGACATCACCGAAATGGAAAGGCTAATGGATTTTTTTCTTTCTTCCATTACACTATTGAGTTGGCCACATTCAATGGACGGCCGAGCCAAGGGTCTCTCAATTTTGAAACTTGAGAAGAAAGGTCAAGGCAATGAAAATGTTTCAACTTAATGACCATAAAGACGTTTTTGAATTGATTGATTGTCAAGTGCTTCATGTGATGGGTCATGCATGCATGTGTGTGTGTGTTTGTCAATCATTGCAATGTCATAGGTGTTGACATTTTCATTTTTTGAAGTGGCCAAGATTTTTTCTCATCGAAAATTGAATCGAATCTTGAAATTGAATGTTTTTTATTTTATTTTATTTTTTTCAATATTCAATTTGAAATGAATGAATGAATAGATACATGTATGGAGAGAACCAAGACTCAGATGAATGGATGGTAATCGGATTTTAAAATGACAATCATTTATTATAAATGAGGATGTTCGGTCATAAACATAACATGATCGATAGAAAAAAATTTATTATTTCGTTTGTTCTCGTCATATTCATTCATGATGATGATGATCATGTCATGAGTATCATCATCTCAAATTCAAATTCAAAGATCATGATTTTCTCCTTCCACACACAGAAGGGACACCTGTTGCTTGTCAAACAGAAAAACATTCTCAGATTCTTTTCAATGATTTTCCGATTTCATCATTCGAAAAAAACTAATAATCATAATCATGAATTTTGAAAAAGATGAAGACATTTCACCAAACAACAACAAAAAATAAAACCATAATTGTAGAGTACCAACAGTGTGTATACGACCGGACACACAAATGAAATGGTGTAAATTTGATAACCAATATCACATATTCACATTTATGACCATGAAATTGAGAAAATTCATTGAATGAAAAGAATATGGGATGGAATTTTGTCAAAAAAAAGTAAAAAGAAAATGAAATTTGAAAAGCACCAAACACACATTCACAATGGTTGAAGGTAGCCTTGAATTTTGAACATCAAAATCATCCTTTGTCTTTTCGTGAAATGGTTTTTTTCGGGTGCACACACACACACACACACATACAGACATTCTCATAACATCGTTATATTATTGAGCATGACTAAAAAACTCACGTTCAGTGTTTCAAATTCCGATCTGATCATCAATGGCCAATCATTATCATTATCGAAGCGAAACATTTTCATGTTTTCTCTCCAATTTCTCTGATTCTCATGTTTTTTTGCACGACAATGTTTTTGAATCTATCAAGGTGTATTCTTCACGCCAAAAAATTGACGTCTCAATCTAATTTCACATTTTTTAATCTTAATGGTTGTCTATAATTTATGGTCAAACAACAACAACTGATCAGATGATGAGCTGCTATAGATTTGATGATTTATACATGAAAGACATTTTCTATGTCATGCCGTTGACACCTGTGTTCAACACAACGAACGAAGCAAAAACTTATTAAATCAAGAAATTAAAAACCTGTTATGTTGATTAAAATTTGTATTCAGACCCAAAACGACAACAACAACTAGAATTCTTTAGACTAACCACGAGAATTGTATGCCAAAAAATCTGAAAAAACATCTATTGAATTGTGAAAATCTAATTAACACCAACCAAGCGAAGAAACAAAGAAAAGATGTGAAAAACTTGAATGATGAAAACCAGAACACATCGTGTGGTTAGAGCCAAATTATATTTTTTGGTGAAAACAAAACAAAACTACAACAAAATTGGAGAAAAACTTAATTAAAGTTTTTTATTTTTATTATTGTTGCATCTAAATGTGAAAAATATTATAATTAAATCAAGAAGAGAAAAGAAGGATAAAAAGCTGCCGACAACGACAACACCTTATGATCAATTAGCAATTAGAATTCTTTTTCTTTGCAAGCATCCCGGATGAGCGGTCATCGTGTTCATCATCAAAACCAAGCACTTTTTCAGTTTGAATTTAAACGAGAAAAAAAACATAATTTTTTTCATAGAAAATGAGTTGAACCAATCAAATGTGATTATTAAATTTCATTTTCACTTAAATAGAAATTCAGTTTATCTTTTTTGAAGAAAAAAAACTTGAAATTGAACTTGAAACTCAAATTGGTTGGATGATGATGACAGGTTTTGAAAAAAAAACTGTCAAGAAAAATGAATAAAAAATTGAAAAATTCTTTTTGAAGAAAAAAAATGACAAAATTTTCAGACAAACATCCCGTGTATCAGAATGATATGACATGACGATGGCCAATCAATCGATGGGCGACGACAATCAAAAACCACCTTATCGTCGCCAACAATCATCATTGGGTCGCAATATTTAAACACAACATAAATGTCAATCATCACCCAAAAAATAAAAAAAAACTTGAATTTATCGACAGAAATATCAGACATTTTTTCTGTCCGAATAAATAAATAAAATCAAAACTTAAACTAAAACTAAAACAGACATTTTGTCGATTACTTGGAAAAATATTCTCTCTCTCTCTCTCTCGCTTTGATTAAGATATTTCAAACAAAAAATTCGCTTGGGTTAATCGAAAATTTTTCATGAAACAAAAACAACGACCCTACGGCCATTCGAAAATTCTTCAGACTTTTCATCTGGTTTGAAAGGAAAATTATTTGGTATGATGATGATGATGATGACCATGATTATTATAGTGTCGAATAATGTTGTTAGGTTGTTTATTTATTTTGTTTGTTTGTGTTCATATTATGTGATTGATTGAGTGATTAAAATCCAATCAGATTGTGATGATATTATATGCCAGTGGATGAAACAAAAATCGTCATAAAGGATGTTGAGTAGGTGGAGTTCATCATCATCATCATCATTATTATTGTCGATGATGAACCTTTGAAGAGAAAAGAGATTGATTGGCCCATTAGAAATGGACGAAAAAAATCTTTCTAAATTATATAGTAGTTGCATGTATGTACCACGTATCTGGTACATATATCGATCATCCTGTATAGCTATAATTGACCAATTTTTCTTTCTTTCTTCTTGAATGTATTGAAAAATCTTAATGATTTTTGAGCATAGTTTTCTTTCTGTTTTCCAACTTTTTCTCTTAACCTTGATAGTTTTTTTTCTGGATGAAAACGATAGCAGCAGCGAATAAGACAGGAAAAGTATCAAAGAATGTCTTAATAAAAAGATGGACACTGAAAATGAGTGAACAATTAAGAAATAACTAGAAAATCTGTAGATGAAAAGAAGAAATTTAAATTTAAATTTATTGCCACAATTTTTAATGATCTCATTTGACACTTTTTTCCATTCAGCTGATAAAATAATAAAATTTTGACAATCATCTGTCACTTTGTGTCATTTTTAGTATTTCTTCAATCGATAATGACGATGATGATAAAGTTTTATAATTTTATTATGTCATCAAAGATTTTTTTTATTATCAACAGGTTTGCAAACCATATACATAGGTCCAATAACCTTAATTTATTTTTAAAGAGAATCATTGCGCCATCTATTGTCGGCCGAAACATCCGAGGCCTATCATGTGACATCGGTTGGATATTTTTGACAAGCAATCAATTAAAAAAATCATATCAAAATTGATTACTTTTTTTACATGGATTTCAACAAGAAAACAACAAACAAGAAAAAATCTTTGATTGATGGATAAATTCGGGTACAGCTGGCAGTTGGCCAAAGTATAAATTTGTTTCCCTTCAATAGAATAAAGAACGTCGAACTAACTGTCGGTGGGAAATGGAAAGAAAAATGAATGAAAATTCGTGTAAATTTTTCGATTTTGAACGTTTAATTCGACGATTTGAACCGAATTTATGGTTATTTCCATTTACAGGCGGCTTACTGCTGTTTATCACATTGATTTCATGGTAAGTTATCGATTTATTGATATGGATAATTGGTGATTTTCTGTGATTACGCAGTTATTTAATAACATCATATACGCGAGGATATCCATTAGTTTGGTTGGTCAGTGATGTTGGTGCCGCATCACCAGTGGCCGGTTATTTCTCTCAATCATTGGACATGATTTCCTTTTTCTTCGCTATCAGCGGTTATTTGCGTAGCAAACAAGTGGAATATTATCTGACCAGAATCATTCCACGATCCGAAAATCGCCAAATAAACAATTTGGACATGATACGTATTTTACATGAGAAAAATTATCAGTCATTCTGTTGTTGTATTCTGAGTTCGATTGGTTTTATAATATTAGGAAATTTCAATAGTGTCGATCATTTGTATGAACATGGTGTCGGTTGTTTTTTCATGTTCACCACTATACCATTCCTAATATCACAGGTACAGTATTCGTGAAATGAAATTGATTCGGCAAGTTGTAAATTCTTCTTTTTTTCTCATTCAGACATTTATTGCCAATAAACTTTATGAATGTGATCAAATCGAAAGTCGACCAATCACATTGACTATTGTAACGTATACGGTAACGATTGGTTGGCCATTAACGACGGCGATATTTTTTCTTTCATTATGGGTTCATGGTTCATTGTTTGTTTGGTTAGATGCGAATCTACGTTTAGATTGGCCGAGTGATGCACCAAGTTTTCTTTGGTTTCGTACCGGTATCATAATGGAATGGGTGGTCATTATGAATTATTCACCGACATTATTAGTTCTTGCAAATAGAATGCGATTGTTCAAACACTGGAATCGTATTGTTTACTGAAACATTGTGTGTATCATCATTCATGTAGTTATCAATCGATGAGTCATTTGTATTAGAATTTATTTTTGGTTGATTTTTGTTGCACAAATTAAATTTCTTGTGATCAATAAAATTATTTAGTATTTTAAGAAACAATTTTCAACGATGATCAACAGATATTTGCATCTTCAATGGTTAAAAATGCAAATATTCGAATCGAATAGAAAAACACACGATAAAAAAGACACCAATAAATACATTATCAATCAATCAAATTCAATCCTGTGTGTGAGTGTGTGAAAGAAAAAAAAAACTAGGAGGATAAGATAATGAACACATTCAGTTTCCTCATTTTTACATTGATTTTGGCACATTGACAAAATGAAAATGAAACGAAAAACAAAAGAAACAAATGAATTTTTTCCACCTACCTTTTTCCTCTTTGGAATGACAAATTGTTTGTTACTGTTCATCATTCATTGGCATCAATTATGGTGCACGTTCGTTGAGCAGAGTATAAATATTCAAAGGGAAACGAAATTCTTGCATACAAACAAAAATGTCGGCAACCAAATTTAATAAACGGATAATCGATATAAACAGAATTCTCAATGAATATGATTCCTATTTTTGGACTATACCATTGTTGGTCGGCATAATTGTAATCACATCATTACCATTGACTTATATATCTGCTGTATTTGTTGGTAACAGTTATCCAATATCATTGGTAAGTGATGTTGGTGCCGTTCTGCCAGCCCGTGGTTATTTCTCACAATCAGCTGATGCTGTTGCCATTTTATTAGTGATAACAGCATATCTACGCTGTAAACAAGTGGAATTTCATCTTTTCCAACAATTTAAATTGAATCATCAAAATGATAATGATGATGACGATAATAATAATGAATGTACAATAACAAATGGCAAAACAACAACCCAGACTATGATAGTGATGAATAAACAATTGATTAACGAATTAAATGACAGAAATTATCGTTATTTTATTTGCATGATAATAACAGCATTTGGCTTTATGTTGATTGGAAATTTTCCAAGTAATGATCATCTTATTGAACATGCAATTGGTGTCATATGCGTTTTATTCTCGTTGATTTATCTATTTGATCAGGTTTGTGTTCACAATCATCATGACCGATGACTAAGACTGTTTTCCATTCAATAGCTTTATATATGCCAAAACTTATATGACTATGGTCGCATTGAAAATCGACCATTAACATTGACTATTGTAACGTGTTTAATAGTTATCGCATGGATTGTGACTATGCCCACTATATTGATTGCATTATTTCATCATGAATCAACCTTGTTGGTTTTCTTCGACAATAACATCCGAATGAAATGGACGGAAGACAAACCCGGTGCCGAATGGTTCAAAGCAACTGTCATTGCTGAATGGACAGCATTATTGTCGTATTCGCCGATTTTTCTAATTATAAGCAAAAGAATGTATCAATTTCGAAAATGGAAACAAATATTCCAGCACAATGTCAAATAATAATAATTTTTATTTTCCAAAAAAGAAATCATTCAATGATAATGAGATTTATATAGATAATTATTTCAATACTTGATTGTGAAAGTGTGAGAATAATGGAGGGCAAAAAAAATGAAAGTTTACATTTAATTCATGTAATGGTATGGTATGGTATTTGAGGATGATTTCGATGAATTGAATATGAATAAAATTAAATCAAATCAAATAACAAATCGACATTCGCGAATCAAAAAGAAAAACAATAATAAATGAATGAAGAGAAATTATTCAAACTTGATTTCGTTGTTGTTGCGTCTTGTGTGATTTAAATAGAATAATTATAAGGATTAGTTAATCAAACAGTTTTTTTTGTTAAAGAATGTGAGATTATATTGTGAATGAGTATAAATTTGGTCAATACATGTGTGTGTGTGTGTGAGAATCATTACTTTTTTTGTTTTTTGTTTCAAAAAAATGTTACAAAAATAATTTCATCAATTTCTATTCTGTTGGAATTTAATCTTTTTTTTGATAATTTTAAATCAATTCTACCGTAATAATGATGATGAGGAAAAGGCAAGTTTTGGATAAAGAGTTCATATGAAAAAGTGAGAGAGATAAATGATCCAGAGAACCATTGAAAATTATTTTTGTCATCTTGTTTGGAACAGCAAAAAAAATTCTGTGCGTTTAATTGCGGCTATTCTCATGATCAAAAGAATTTGTATTTTGGATTGAAAATAAAAAATTTGAAGAAAGCTACTACTAGCGTCAGCTATCGGTGAATTTCTGAAACCGAGGATTTTTTTTTTTGAAAAATAAAATTAAATCTCTCATTCGTGATGAAACAAACAAACAACATGGGAATTAAAGGCGTTAAAACTCAAAAATAAATTCGATACGAGTTTTTTTTTCGTTCCATATCCCAAAAGACCACAACACCAGCATGGACATCAGAATCAAATGAGAAAGAAGAGAAAAAATCACAAATTGAATTCGTGTTCGTGATGTGTGTGTGTGTGTGTGTGTGGACATCACACAGGATTCTAGTCTTTTTTCTTCTGGATTTAATTGAGCTTTATTTGAAATTGAATTGTTGAGACACTAACTGTCACTGTGTGTGTGTGTGTTTCATCAATTTGGAACCCGGAACAAATTTTTTTTTTGTTCTTTCATCATCCTGATGACGTGGTCTGTGTTGAGATGAGATGACACATTTGTCCGTTCATTTTGGTTATTGGGAACAAAACAAAAAAGTGAAAAAAAAAAAATGGCACCGACATCAAATCATTGTGACAATGTTGCGTCTTAATATCTTTCGTATGGTGGTGGTTACTTTGTTTCTTAATTTTTTTTTCTTCTCTTCATTGTCTGGTCATGGAATGAATGAACAATTTTTTCCTAATTCGTACACGTTAAGTTCATTTTCTATCGTCATCGCCATCATCATGTCCTGATTCTTGAATCTAATAATTGCATCAATGTGGTTGTGGTGGATCAAATCGAAATGGAAATTGAATTTCTTCTTGATCCCTAATGATGTGTGTGTGTGTGTGTGTGTGATTTGTGATAGTGGTGATAGAATCTTGAGAAAATTTCTTCATCTTTTTGTTGTCAAATTAATTTTCTCCTCTTTGTTCTGCAAAAACATTTCATACTTGATTAAATGATCAAAATCAAAAATATCCGGACGGCAAAAAAAGAAAACATCCGCAAAATAATGAAATAATTGTGGAAATCCGACTAGAAAAAGCTCATGTTTATATGCTAATCTCATGCCTTTTGAATCATTTGTTTTTATCAATGAGAATTGGGGTTGGAAAGAAAAAAAAATTCAAGGTTTCTGGATCATTTTCACATCTCAAATTATTAAATTATGTCTCGGTTTTTATCTCTCTATATTTATGGTGATAAAACGACAAAGTTTGACAATATGGATTTCGAACAAAAAAAAGTTTTTCGTATGTGTATGTGTGTGTCGATTGGTTGTTGTTCGTAATATTTTTAACGGAAAAAAATCGATGATTAATTGATCATTGATTGAAAAAATAATAATCTAATGATGATGTATCCAGTGTGTCAATAATGATAGAAATTTTTTTCAAGAAAAAAAAATGAAAATTTTGAGATCAAAAAACAAAGATAAAATTTTCGTTTCATTTGTTTGGTTTGGTTTTGGTTCCTTAATTCAATCAGAATGGTGGTTCGTAATAAATTAATCATGAGAATAATTTAGAGTATTTCGTTATCGTTTTTTTTGATGATGATGATGATTATGAGTATCATTAGGACAGGATATTCATTTTTGGTGTGCGTGTGTTTATGTGTTTGTGAATTTTTGTTTTGTTTTGTTTTTTTTTTTTTTTTTGGTTAATGAAATAGATTTTCAATTAATTTTCTTCGATTGATAATTGAGTAGCTATGAAATACAGATAGACAAAAATTTTTCACAAATGAATGAATTGTTTGGGAGTATTTACTTAGGTACTGTGTATGTGAGATGATGATAAGTGAACGTTTCTCAATCAAATATTTTGAATATAATGATGAATATATCGATAAAGAAAACAGAAAAATAAAAGAAAAAACAATCGATAGATTTCTTTGATAATCGAATGAAATGCGAATGAATTGCGAATGAAAAAAAAATTGCAGCAAACATCAATTAGAATTCAATCGATTGATTGTATCAATCAATAAATCTGGAACAGGCTTTTTTCCATTTACATTGTGTGCACCATAATTGTCGATTATCCATACCATATACTTTACGACATTTTCTTGATTCACCACGTGGTTTTCGTTGATTACTAGTATTGCTAGTATTACTAGTGTTACTAGTATTACTAGTATTACCAGTATTACTAGTTCCTGTTCCATTCATTGTGTTTCCGGCCAAATTATTAATGTTATGCTGTGAATGATGATGATTATTCAATGCACCCATTGTTGCAACTAATCCTTTTAATGACCCAAAAAGAGGATGATGACGTGAATCATGACCATTGAATGCAGAATGATGATGATGATGGTTACCACTACCGCTTCCAAGTTGATGCGGATGAAGTGATGGATGATTATGATAATGAAGAGGGTTGAGTGGATGAAATGCTGATGTTTTTTCCATATAATTGAATTGTATATTTGATCCACGATGGTGTTGATTATGATTTTTTATTATTGATGATGAATTACCATTGAGATGGTGATGATGATGATGATGATGATGATGATCATTATTTTGATGATAATTCGATGATGATGATGAAGATGATGGTGATAATGATGCAGCAATCGATGCTATAAATGGTGTACCATTCAATGAATTCATTGCACATATTAATTGCTGTTGTTGTTGTTGCTGCTGCTGTTGTTGTTGATGCAATAATAATTTTTTCTTTTTATTTGTTGAACCAGGTGGTCGACCACGTCGCCTAGGCAATATTGGTGTTGTCGATGAAGCCAAATTTGGGTGCTGCAAATGGTGGCCATTCATAAATGATGATGATGATGGTAAACCATCACGGATTAGATTGCTATGATGAGGCACTTTCGATGATGATGATGATGATAAAGAAGATTGACCAGTAGAATGATTGGCAGAATTTATATTAATGGGCGATGTCACCGTTGTTGATGTTTGGATTGGTGGTGGTGATGATAAAACATTCTTTTGATGATGATAATGAGGAAATGAAGCAAGTGTATTTGAATGACACGATGGAATCACAAACGATGAAGATCCGGGTGTCGATGTAGCAGCAGAAATAGTTGATGAGTATGATGATTTCTCAACATTTTCAACTAATTTTCTATTATTGCTTACATGATCAACATGATCATCATCGCCATTAATCGTTTTATCATTCAAAGTGGTAGATGTTGCTGCTGTTATTTTCGATATCGATGAAAGTCCAGTACGGCCATATTGAATCACATTCAATGATTTATTATTATTGTTATTGACAACAATCGATGATTGATGTTGATCATAGTGATGTTGTTCATCATTTTTTATTAAATTTTCATTTGATTGCTGTTGTTGTTGATTATTGCTGCTGTTATTGTTGTTGCCGTTATTTTGACTATTTATCATGCTATTTTCATATTGAGCTGACCAGGATTTTATTGATGATGTAGGTGATGAGGATGAAAAATAAGCTGATGTTGATGATGATGATGAAGATGACGATGATGAACTTGATGATAATGATGATGGTGATGCAGATGAAAAATTCGTCTGCTGATGATGTGGATGATGAAACATTCTTGGTGGTATTATGGAAGTTGTTGAAATGGTCATCATTGTTGATGATGATGATGTAGCGGTGGTGGTGGTGGTGGTCATTGCTGTTGCCGTTGTTGTCGTATTCAACGGTAAAATCGACAATGATGATAATAATGAATTTGATCGGGCTGATAGATCAATTGGACCATCTTGATCTTCATCACCATGGCCATTATCATTGTTAATTTTTTTCGTTGAAGAAACTAGATTTTCATGACTAAGTGAATTATTGGATTTCGAATTCGATGATGGCATGGCAGGTAAATTGAGATTTTGAATGCGAATTTTATTTGTTGTTGTTGACAATTTTCTGCCATCATCATCATCGACATCAACATCCATTTGATCGATATTATCATCATGGTCGTCATCATGATCAACATTAACTTCATCATCATCATCATCATCATCATTATTGTGGTCATCATGATCATCATCAGTATGATGATCATTGAGAATTTCCATTTCTGTATAATAAAATTCTTCTTCATGATCACTTAAATCTCCTGAATTTACATCTTGATTTGAACAGAAATCTGTTCGATTCGATGTATCATTGTGCATCATCATTGATGATTTATTTGATGATTTACTTTCACCATTCGTTATAGTTGCTATTTTCGTTGATCGACTAATGAAAGAGAGAAAAAAATATGAATATGAATACAATCAATGTATCAAAAGAAAAAAGGGTCATTAATCCAGAAACAAACAAAAAGATTAATTCTAAACTACTGCTAATCCTGGAAAGATTAACACAATCACAACCAACAACAACAACAACAACATTGACATCAATTTAAACACAAGCGACAGACAAAATTCATAATATTTAATAAGATTAAGAATCCCGGGATTTATATGCAAAAATAGTAATAGTAATAGTAATTATGAGGAAACGGAAACAAATTGTAATTGATTGTAAATCGATCAAAATAAAGGATAAGATACCGATCAATGAATCGATGATCAATGTACTGGATGAAAATCTACAGCAATTTATTTTCACTCTATATTTCCACTGTGGTTCTATTAATATTTGGCTTGTTTTGATTTTCTCCTTTGATGTGAATGTTTTTGACACTTGCGAGATTTTTTTGCTGTTGTCATTTTCCATAGAAAATGATTCAAACATTCGGTTAAATAACAAATCATAATATAATAATGGCAATTGAATAAGAAAAGAATAAAAAAAATTCGAAATCCATTGATTCAGAATTCCAATTGTTCGATTGTGTGTGTGTGTGTGGCTCAATGTTACAATCACTTTCAACACCAGAATTCTGGTGGTTTCATTCACATGACATTCTTTTGTATTCTAAAAAAAAATTCTACAAACACACGCACATTCAATAACATGCATACAATGTTCAAAAACAGAATTGTAAACAAAATGCAAAAGGATCAACCACGACGAACCAACCAATGAACAGAAAAAAAGGAAAAGAATTTTGAATTTGAATTTGAATTTTTTTTCCATTTCAATTTGAAAAATTCTACGCTTTCGGGTAGCAAGTGAAAAACTTGTTTCTAGTTGAAAAAATTTTTAAAATTTAAAAAATGTCAATTTCTTCGCTACGAGTGTGAAATGAAATGAAATGAAATGAAATCTAAGGCAATACCGTAAGGCAATAAATTAATCGAGTGAAAAATAATTTTATTTTTCCTTTCAGGATTACTTTATGCCTCATTCGTTTTGTATGGTATACATGCACACACACACACAATTTTAAAGAAGCAAGGAATGTCAATTCATTCATTCATCGTAGTTGGAAAAGCCTAAAGCGTTGTTTCTTTTTCTATTTGTCGTTTGTTTGGATTGACAATCAAACCAGATTCACAACAACAACAATCAAATCGATTCCAATGATTGATAGGCAAATTGATGAAAATGGAGATTCCAATTTCAATCTATTAGATCAGATTAAGAATTCAATATGCAAAATGAAATTGTATTCCATTCCAATTGAATAATCACAAAGAAAAAGGTAAATTTTATATATTCATCCTACCACCTCCTCGCACCGCAGAATTATTTTGAATGAACAACTCACATCCAGTCCTCAATCTTTTCACTATACATTTGACATTAAATTATGTACAGCATCTTTTCGAACGACAACAACAAAAAAACATGGAATAAATTCATCCAACAAGTTTATCCAACAAACAAATTATGATCATAACGAATATTCACACTGTGTGTATATTTCGTGAAGAAGAAGAAGAAAAATATGCAGAATATCAAATATGAAAAAAAATAGAAAATTGATAGACCTCGAGCGACATAATGTCACGAATTTGTTTTGTTTTCTGCACCTCTCACTCTCTCGCTCTCTGAAAAAGGTCCTTTCGATTATTATTTTGATGTACGGTAAATATTTACCGACAAACACGGAACATTATTATTACAATCATCATCACTAGGCTGATGTCAAACATGGTTTTTGTATCGTGTGTGTGTGTGTGAAACATTTTCGAGGTGGTCCAGATTGTTTTTCTTTTTCTCTCTTGTTTTGTTGCCGAAAGCCGAACATTTTTTTCTCCTGTTGTAATCATCACAGAAATTCACGAGGAAATGAACATCATTTGATTTGATTTGATTTGATTTTTTTTGGCTCGCTCGCTCGCTCTAACTCTATACCGTGATATTGAGCGAATAAATCGATTTGATTGAATTAGACATGTTACACACACACAAACAACTGCATCATGGCTATGAAATAAAATTATTCGGTTGACGATGATGCAGCAAAAGTGAATGAAGCAAAAAAACGCACCAGACATATAGCAACAGCTATTCGGACAATATAGAATTGTGCTTTCGGGCAAATTTATAGAATAATGGAATTAGAAAGAAACGTATCTGCAGCTCAGATTTTTCTTTCCCTCAGAGATTGCCAACATCAAATATATTCACTGGATCAAATTCATAGGGAAAAAAGTTTGAGCTAGATTTGTACGAATATCTATTTTATTAATTGAGATATGCATGCAAACATTTTTCATTCATTTTAATTATTTGCATGTTTGCTCATTGTGTTTGATAATTGTAATCATTTTCAAATTTTGCCTTTTTCCTGCTATTGTCATGTCATGTTATTCATGGAATAAGAAGTTACAAGTGAATCAATTTTTTTTTTTTTTTTGAAAAAAAAAATTCAGTCAATAATGAATAACCAGGTGGCGTCACTAGTATCGTGTATAAACAATTTTTATTTTTTCTTTTTCCACAAATCAAACTATACCATATACATAAATGCAATTAAATCAATTGAAAAGCAAAAGGAAGGGGTAGGAGAAAGATTTCTCATTTCAAATTTTTTATAGGCACCTAGAGACACATTTAGCAGACCAAACAGGAAGGGGAAGGTCGTTGTATAACGATAACATGTTACATAATGTGTTTGTGTATAATATTCGTATTGTGTATGTTGATACATTATCGTCATCGTCATCAAACTACTTGGGAAAAAGAAAATTGTGCAATTTTCATTCCGTTCTGAAATGATGATCGAATCAGAATTTGGTTTTTTCAGTGTATGTGTGTGTGTGTGGATGTTGAAATAGGAAAAAAAAATTATTTTTCTTATTATTACACACACAAACCAGATTGTATATGAAAACGATCGTAATAGCCCATAATGGGCGCCATTAAATGTTTTCTTTACAAAACACACATAACCATCATGGAAAAAGGTCATCGAAATGAAATGAAAATGTTTCTACTTTTGAATTCCAGGAACATTCAAACACATACAATGTAACTAGAGTCAACAGAAATGGACCATTGGAGAAAAAGAATAAAATGAACTCATCAAACACATGAATTAATGCGTGTGTGGTCTGGTGAATCATGCCAAAAGAAAGCCAAACAAATGGTAATAACGAACAAAAAGGGACAAGAAAAATCATAAAAATTTCAAAACCTGAAAAAACATGTCTTTGAAAATGACATCATCATTTTTAGCTCAAAAAAAAAGAATTCCATAGAACGAAAATGGAAACCCGAAAAACAATACAAAAAACTAAGACAATAAAACCAGTGTTCAACATTAATGCACAGTGTGACCACAATCGAACATGTATTTTGGCGAAATCGACTGACACCTTTAGGGAACAAAAATCAATCAAAACGACAACAATGAACAAACCGATAAAGAATCGTAGTTGTTGTTTTGCTTGAATTTTGTCTTTGACTTGTTTTTTAAACGTTCAAACAAATTACACTGAACATTAAATAATGCACATCGTTTCATCTATTTGAATGAATTGATGAGATTTTTTTTTTTTTTTTTTTTGTTTTGTTTTCCAAGTGTAAATTTGCCCAAGTTGTTCAATGTGAGAATTGTAAATGTGCAATTGAAACGAAAATTTTTCTTTTTTTTTTTGTTGATCACACAGAATAAATGAATTGAAACAAGCAAAGAAAAAAATAAATCTTGACAAGTTGGATAATTAAACTTTTTGTTGTTGTTGCTGTTGTATTTGATGCAGAAGTGGACATTGGTCAGAGAATGAGAAATTATTATCATCGTTGTGTCGTTGTAATCGGAACTTGAACAATTTCGGTCAGAAATGAGAATAATAATAATAACGAACAAACTAAGCATTGTGTGTGTGTGTGTGTGTACAGTGTAAATGATGGCCGAAGAGGAAGAAGAATTTCTCTCGGTTTATTATGGTTAGTTTTTCAGTTAATTAAAAGTCATCGATCAATCAAGATCAGACGTATTATACACACACTTGCAGGCATAGTTCAAAAAATCAAATCACAAGTCAACTCTTCAAAGAATCGTTATTTTTTTTTTTTTCTTGAACATTTTCAGGGTTTGTTTTCATTTGGTTCCAATTTTAGTGTGGTTAATATATTCAAGTGGTGGTGATCATGGTCCATCGTCTTGAAGGTCCAATCGATTGTCATCATCATCGATGGTTTGGAAATGGAATTTTTTTTTTCATTCGAAAAAAAAATTTCAAGTGTCAACACAATTTGTGTGTCTGTCTGTGTCAGACAAAGGATGTCGACCATTCAAGTCAAGTGAGTGTGTGTGTGTGTGGAAAAATGTCTAAAAAAATTTTGACTTGAGAAAATAGTAGGAGGTGCAGTAAGAAGTAGAACCTTAACCCGTTATCAAAAATAAGAGACATACTCTGTGAATGATGTAAATGGATTGTAGGGGGCGCACAACAACATTCATACGAGAATATTATGTTGATTTTTTGTTTCGAATGGAAATTTTCATTATTCCAGAAAAAAGCAGTAAATTAAAAATTCAATGAACATGTTAAAAGTATCGAATGTGATGATGTTATAATTTCAACTAAAAAAAATGATTATCATTATTATCATAATGCAAACTGGGAATTCGTAGGAAAAAAATTTCAATATCATCACCGAGATATTATGGATATTTGGATAGCGATTTTCAATGAGAAAAAACTCATCAACACAAATATTGAGAGTGAGTACATATACAGTATAATTTAATTTAATTTAATTTTTCTGTGAAAAACCCAAGGAAAATTTTTTTGAAAATTATTATTTCGATGCATATAACGGGAGAAATTTTAAAATTTCCATTTACTCCAAATGTCTGTGTGTGTGTGAGTGTATGAAGATAATAAATTTTCATTCTTTCATGAATTCATTCTTTCGATAATGATAATCATTTTGAGATTCACGTTGAAATTCACTACCACCACCAACATTATTCATTTGATGATCAAACAAAAAACACGTCCGGCATTGATGAAATATGGATATTGAAGAAATATACATTCAATCAATCAATGAATCAATCGATTTTGATTTGAATAAAATTTTTTACATCATCAACATACAAACTGAACCCCTACACTTGAATATCAAAAATGAAATGAATGATAAAAGAGAAGCAGACACTTGAAGTACCACAAAACGGTATAGACTCAAAAAAAGTAAAGTGGATGCTGAAATATCACAATAATAATCATTACCATACAAGTTGACAACTAATAAAGAATAATAAAGATCACTATACTGGAATGATGCCAAAAACATTATATAATAACTAATAATAATAATCATCATCATCATCATCAGAGTAGTCAATAAATAACAATTATAAAATCCAATGTTTTCACTACTTATATTTTACTCTTCAATTTTTTAACGAGTTTCATTCAATAATGATGATGGTCAAGAGCCGTCATCATCATCATCACTGAATTCTAAACAGGAAATAATAGTGAAATGATGATGAAAATAAATTCCATTTCAATTCATTTCCAAGGTCTTCAATAGCAATGATGAGATGGATACACAAAAATGATGTCTGATCCAGAAGCATCAATATTGTTCCATATGAATGAAAAGAAGAGAAAATTAAAAAAAAAACGTTTTTCACAATTTTTCCCACTGTATCCAATAGATATAATAAAGTGTGCACACAATCTATTAATATATAGATAGTAGTGGGATATAATGACAAAGATAATGAAATTAAATGAAATGATGATGATGATGATGATTTAAAATTAATTTTAAATCATACACACATACTTGAATCATATAAATACATTCTGTCATAGTAACATAGTTTATTTGAGCAGTAGTAGTACATTTTAATTTGTCTATTCCTGTGTGTGCGTGTGTGTGTGTGTTGTTTGATACACAAGCACATCCATATGGTGTACAATGAAAAAGCATCGTCGTTGATGATGATACTTACAGAATTCCCTATTGCCATCCCCTTTATTATTATTACCCATAAACTATCCTGGCATGGATGATGATGATGATGATGATATTTATAAGTATTATCTTTGTTTCTTTTTTGAAATTTGAAAAAAAAACTAATATTGAAGCAGCACTCATCATCATCATCATTATCATTATTGTTATTGTTATTAAAAAACTTTTTTAAACGTTTTAAAGTAAAAATAAAGAAGAAAGAACAGTAATTGTATCAGTTTGAATGATATGTTGTCGTCGTCGTCGTCGTTTTTTTGGCTGTTATTCTGTATTTTATTGTATTACATTCAACCATTGTTTTCGACCTTTATAGGTTCGCAACATACAAAATTCATTCAAAGAAAAGTGTGTAGGAGGAAAAAAGAAATGTAACAAAAACTAGAGACTTGACTTGACTTGAAATTAAAAGTCATCATGTTGGTGATGGTGAAATTTATTTTTTTTTTTTTTGAAACTTTCATTAAATTTAATTTACCCCAAGTGTGTACGCCTTGATAATCATCATCATCGTCGTCAAGAGTAAAACGATATGGCTATTTAGGAACTATACTTGGGTTTTAATAAGTTCTCTTGGTCTCAGTGTCTGTGTCTGTGTGTGTGTGTGTGTGTGTGTGTGAAACACTCATTTACTTTTCCATGCAATAATTCTTTTAAAAAGTTAATAAAAAAAAAGTCATTCAACTATAATGAATGAGATTAAAGTGTTATGATTCTTTTTTCTATTGAAAATGGTGGCCACAAGTTACAAAGAATCAAAAGAATCAAAAAAAGTGTAAAATATCACGAAAACGCTTGTCCAAACAAATTTCCTGTCAATTGGATTTGTTGTTGTTTCTTTGAAAATTTCTTTATGTTTTTTCATCAAATATTCTTTCTTTTTGTTTGTTTCGAGATTGTATTCAACTTACCCTAGATGCATAACACGAACATGTTGTTCAATTGTATGACATTGTAAACATTGAAATGTACAACCACGCCATGTACACTGATACAACATTGTTCGTTGTCGTTGCCGTTGCCGTTGCCGTTGTCGATGTCGTTGTTGTTGTTGGTGGCCATCATTATTAGATGATCCAGAATCCATTATCCTGCCATTGTTTTTAATTCCATTTGGAACCTAGCAATGTATAGCAAAGAGAAAAAAATTTACATTTAGAACAACCAAAACACAAAAAAAGTAAACAAAGTATAATTATGCTTTTTTTAAAAAAAACTGGCAACAAAATGACCATCATCATCCTCATGAATGAATAAAAGTTTTTTTTGCCCGTTATGCAAATGAAATTCAAGTGTTGAATTTATTTATTCATCACTTTGAAACTTTAGGTTTGGTTTTTGGTTCGCTTGTTTTTCAACTCTATCGAGCTTTTTTCTGTGAAATGATTGGATTTCATTGTATAAATAAAACTGAATGGTTTGAATAAACAATTTTCAAATGAACGCACCAATGATTGCTGATTAATAATTAAAAAATGAAATAATCATTCTCTATTCATATTCAAGAATTTTCATTTTTTTTCACCATTCCTATAGAGAATTAATTTTCTGAAAAAATCACCCGCTTGACCGGTATATGTGGATGGTCCTTTTTGATGGGCGTCACTGGTTGCTGAATTAATGAAGAATTTTTTTCAGAATCCCCTCATTCAGCTAATGAAAATGTATTTTTTTTCAGTCGTCGTCGTTGTTGTGAATATTCAAATTTCATTCCCTAACGTTTTGGATCGTTGAATTCATCCGGGATAAATGTAAATATACACACACATAATGGGAGTAGTGTGTGTGTGTGTGTGCGAACGTTTTGGATACCTTTTGATTTCCATCATCATCATCATCATCATCATCATCATCATCATCGATGATTATATGATTTGCATATTTGAATACTTAGTGTATTGTGGACAAATGTAAACAAATCCAGGTTAACAAAAAGTAATTTTTGTTAATTTTTTTACCTGGTGAGAATTCTACGGTGTAACTTATTTGAAACATGTTTGAAGTGTTCAAATGACAGTAGGTGTGTGTGTGGGTGTAATACATTGAAAATGAAAATGAAAACGATCATCATCATTTCGACCGTTTAATAATCATTAAAAAAATTATTTTTTCATTCCACGACAACTTGTTCGTGTTGATTCATACCAACTTCAAGTAGACACACACACACACACGCACACAGAATTTTTTTGCAATCTGGTTTCCGTTAAGAAAATTTGCTGAAAAATTCCCAAGAAATATTCCAAGATCAAGCACAAAAATTTCAACACACACACCTGTATCCGGCAGATTCACATTATATACAAATTACCGGTTTTCTTATTATATTTGCCTTTCATTCTAATTGCAGCAATAAATTTTCCATCACACAGATAAACGCCCACTCATACACAAAATATATAAATCCTTTATTTTTGTGACTGGCACATTGGTTTTATATCGATTTATATCGTGGTTAATGGTCATAATAACCATAATCATTGATGGCGATAATGATGATGATAGTCACAAATTCAGAAACAAAAGAATAAGTTAAAGAATGTGAAATAATCATCGGTCACAATAAACAGGAATTGAGTAAAAGAATGAAGAAAAAAAATCTTTGAAGAAGAATCGCTGTATATACGAATAGAGTAAATTGGTGTATTGCGTGCTAATCAAACATTTTTATTCTTAAAGAATTTTCTTTTTTCTACAAAGTCTAGATTGCAAAAGAATCCAATGCACTAACCAACCACAATATGTAGAAAGAAGAATCGTTTCATCCAAACGGGAATCGTTAATGGAATTCATCACCTGGTGTGAATGGCCATGAAGTGAGAGGAAAAGAAAATTCATATCTGATCTTGCCATCATTATCATTATCATCACCATCATTCATTCAATTAGATACACAAAAAGAGATAGGGAGCCAAAGCAATTATTAATGTTTTGGCGATAGATAAATATAAAGCGTAGTCTAGTCTGAAAGCCAAACAAAACTCTAATTGCAATAATATGAAGCAATCTTGAAGAAATTGAGATTGGCCAGAAAGAAAGAGAAAAACATAAAAAATCAATTGATCAACCATTTATTGACCCAAACAGAGAGAAAAAAGAAAAATTTGCTAAGCTCATTTGCATCCCAAAACAAACAACAACAAGAAAATTGGTGCCGAAAACAGGCCTGAAAAAAAGAAGATGAAAAAGAAAAATTCAAAAGTTAAGTTGTTGGATCCGATCGCGTTTAGTTTTTTATTCTTTTATGTTCCAAGAAAATTTGCAACTTGAATGATGAGATTTTTTGTTTTATTTTTGTTTGTTTTTTCCTGGACTTTCAACTTCCAGTTTGGATCAAATCTTTCGTTGAACACAGGAATGCAACTCTTCTGGGTACTATTAAACACGATACACCATCAAACACGAAACGATGGCGAAAAAAAGGTTTTATTTATGAGGTTCTCTCACTTTTTTTTCATTTTAAGAACATTCTGACTTTTTTCCGCAGAATAAAAAGTTCTGGGCAATTCATTTCGTTAATTTGGAAATGTTTTTTCTCTCAGTTCAACATACCGGGGAATAAAGTGAACAACAATAAATGGTATAATCATTCATAACTTTTTCTCTTTCATCTCGCCAAAAATCTCTTTTTAAAAAAAACCGTTGAAATTTCTTTTTAGGGAGCCGCAAATTTGAATTTAACAAAAAATGAGAAAAATATGAATTCAATTGAATCGAGCAAGTTTTGTGTTTGCTTGATAATGTTTTGGAATTTTTGAATTTACTTCAGAGACAAACCAACAAACCAAAAACAAAAAAAACAAACAATAACAATAAAAATAAAAATCATACAGAAGAATTGGATGAGAATCACTTTTTTCGCCACTCCCATATATGTTTAAGAAAGGGAAAAATGAAAAGAATTCAAGTATGGTTGATGATGATGAGAAGTGTAATTCAAGAATTTGGAATTCATTTCTTTTCGAAAAAAATTGATCTTTTTGATCCCGAAATAAACCAATAAAACAAGCTCGGAAAATAAAAAAAATATGAATAAACAAAATGAATAAAAGATAAAAATGGCTGATTCCCGACCAGAAATAAAAAACCGATTGACTGACACAGCCCAGCCGCCAGAATTGCAAATCGAATTAAACAAACAAAATACCAAATCGAATCGAATTGAATTGTGAATGCAAGTGAGAATTGAGAGAATGATATATTGTGTGTGTGTTACCCGGAATCTGAAATGTGTTTACTATGAATTTTTTTAGTGTGTGTGAATCTTTTGATGATGGGTGTGTTTTCATGAGGGGAGTGTGTGAGAAGTTTGAACGGGATAGAAAAAAAACGATAATTTTATTCAAAAACTCGATTTTTTTTTGTTCGTTTCGCTTCTATTTCGTACTATTTATTATTATTATTGCATAAAGAAAAAAAATGTTTTCTCATAATGTCCGTAGACATACACTCACACACTGGCAGAGGGAAAAAATGAAATAAAAATGGAATCAAATGATGGAACAAGGAACTGGGAATTTATTGAATTTATAGATATTTTTTGACATTTTTTCTTTCTTTGAAAAAAAGAGAAAAAATTCTACATCATACATCGTGTTTGTGTGGCACTATCACCATCAATGCGCTATAGGATTTTTTTTTCTAAAATTCACTTTTTTATTGCCAAAAAGAAAGAAAGAAAAAAAGGAAAAAAATTCAATACATAAGGATCATTGAATCAAGAATTTTTATGGCCAATACACACCAATATACATTATATCTAAAAAGAGAGAGAGATATATATTCAGCCAAAAAAATTCAATTTCAATACGAAAAAAGTGAGGAGAGAGAGAGAGAAAATTATAATATTAAAAATATTAATAATTTTAATGGGTTGTGCACACTCACACTCACACACACACACACACATTACAAACACGGATGATTCTAGCAAAATTCTTCTTTTTTACAGAATTTTACATATTCGATGATTGTCGATTAATATCCATATACATCTATTCACTACAAGAAAAAAATACGAATCGATTAGAATATGATCACCATCACAATAATGGGTCATAATCTTTTTCAAAGAATCGAAATTTTTTATTCTGCCAAACACAAATCATCAAATGCATGTGTGTTTGTATGTTTTTATTCAATGTTTCAACTTTACAACACTTTTTCTTCGGTTTCAATTGAATTGACCAAACGATAAAACGTGCAATGGCCTTTGAAAACATGAAGAAAATTATAACCAGATAATTATAAATTTTTTCACTCGATCCATTCAAAACAATGGTAACATTGTAACTAACTTGCCAAATTATTTAAAATCATTGTCATCATCAATTTTTTGAAAATTTACGAAAGCCAATAATAATAAAAAACCAACAACATACAAACACACCGTTTTTTGACAAATAAAAATTGAATCCAAATAAAATGAATAAATTCTAGACAAGCTAACCCTGGTTTATGGACCGGAACAAATGGATATAACCATAATCAAAAAAAAAAAAAACGAAAAAGAAACCTAAATAATAATCGACTTATGTTTTCGGATCACAAAAACATGTTTCAGCCTACCAGTCGTTAGCCAATTCATTTTGTGATTGTATATGAAAAAGTAATTCTTTTCTGACATATTTTCACAATCTATTTCAACAACAACAACGAGAAAACATAAAATTTTATTATCATCATTAATATCTAATACTTTAATACTACTCAAACACCGAGTCAAATTTGAATTTCAGAATTGAACTTTTTTTTCGAGGTTGAAAATTGAAAATTAATGAAACCGACACACAGGTAGAGGTTTTGTTTTTCTAGTTCTCAACAAATAAATGGAAAGAGAAAAAATTTACAATTCAAATCAAAGAATCAGACAAATATCTGTATATATGGGGATGTGTCACACACACATTGAATTTCAGAAAACCATAGTTCAACGAACCATACACATACATTTGCTGTAAATTATTCCGGATAAAATTGAAAAGTGAAAATGAATGAAAACAGACCGAAGATACCAAGGATTTTTCATCATCATCATTATTATCATTGAAGGTTTCAATTTTCAACCAGAACCAAAAAAAAAAATCTCATCACAACAAAAACACATTGAAAAGAAAGTTT